ATACCCCACTTGCATGGGGTTACCATGGTTACTATTTTGACCCTTCGGGGGCCCTTAACTCTTGACCTGAGGGTCAAAAAAATCCAGAAAAATATTTTTTGGGTTCCCCTTGTCCAGGGGATTAATTTGATACCCCACTTGCCTTTAGTTGTGAGGGAATGATATTTAACCCTTCAAGGGCTCCTAGTTCACGACTCAAGGGTCATAAAAATTTATAAAAATATTTTTCTGGTTCCCCTGGTCCAGGGGATTAATTTGATACTCCATTTGCATGGGGTTATCAGGGAACGCTATTTGACCCTTCAGGGGCCCTTAATTCATGACCCAGGGGTCATAGAACGCTAAAAATAATTTTTCTATACTATTCCCATGCTAGACTTTTATTTTGGACCAGTTTGGAGGAAAAAATTTTTTTGACCGGTGACGTCGTGAAATTAATGCTACAAAGCGGTGTAATAAGTCTGCAGGGTTAGAACTTCATCCACAGTAAACTGGAGTTAAAAAGTTGTACATAGGTAAATAATAAAATTGAGTTACTATTAGACCTTAACCTTGACATAGGATAGTCAGAGAGAGAGAGCTACAATAATAATTTTTGTTTCAAGGTGGACTCTTTACTCGGCATACAAATTGATTGGTTTAATATATTGTATAACATATTATTTCCAGATAAACATGCCATGTAATTAAATGTTTTTGTGGATAACATATTTGTTAAATAAAATTAATAGATCGTATAAATATAGTTTAAGAGGCTCAAATTACTGTCATTAGACATTGAGTTTTGAGCTCATAGTACTTTCAAAATTAAAATTATTGATCCCCGAAATTATAGCATCTGTTGGACGAACGACTCTTTTTGGTACAATAAGTAATCACGACCATGAGTAAAAAGCTCTATGGTAAAAAGTGTACTTCTCTTCGTATAATATGTATAAACCAAGAAACTACATGATAAAACCAAACAACAACCGGCTCTTATTTAGATAGCTCGTTATTCGATTCGTGTAAAGAATTGCGTGAAATTGGACCCTCGACAACACGACTCAACGAAAAGATGGCCCTCACCTCATATTTCTAAAAATTGCTTTTGTTGTAAAAAGCTGTCGTCCTACATATCTGTCGGAATTTGGCTCTCTTTCCTATCAAAGTGGCAGTCTTAAGTTGATTATGTACTTACTTATGACAAAGTTTCTTTACGGATGAACAATGAGCATACAATGCATTGGTGTCATTGTAGTTAATATCTGACTCGGGTAGTGTTCTTAATACGACGAAAGGCTTTAAAATTATTTGTATAGCAAATATGATTATAAACACAACAATACTTATCTTATCGTAGTAGCAAAATATCTTCGCCTAAATTTCAGAAAAGATTCCACTAGAATTATTTTAAAGTATATCGTATACATATGGAACGGCATATTCAGGAAAATATTTACAAAAATATGAAAAATGGTAGCGTTTGCTTGAGAGGAACTTGAATTTAACGTCGGCCTACTTTAAGTTAAATTCAGTTTCATTCACACGCAAAAAAAGAATTTTGCTAGTAAGGCTGAACAAGTGCAACTGCATTATGTTCTGCTGCAGATATGCGTAAATCTCACCAATGGCGATGCATTTATTCCCTTCTCCAATGACCTCAAACAACTATTACAACGATTTCAGAATAAGTTTCAATTTTAGCGTCTGCACAGCGTGAATGAGCATGCTGCATGAGCAATGAAATTGAAAATGGAAACTGCAAACTTTAAATTTGCAATGTTCAATTAGGTGCAAGGAACCCACAATGCTCAGATGAGCCACATAGTTACATAGTTACATAGTTACATAGATCTCACAACCCCTTTCATTGAACTTATGCTTTTGATGAGATTATCGTTACGGCCATCTTGTAGTATAAGTTTATGGGTACAAATCCATTTGATTTTATTTTCCCACTTGGACGACCATAATAACCAGATAAGGCAGAGCTAGGTCAATGATTCATTATTTAAAATCTATTACGCCAAGGAAGGTTAATCAATCAAGCCAATATGTAAATAATCGGCTCAAATTATACTGCGGTTTAGTTCGACTTGTAGGGATTCAGGTTCGGTCATTAAATAAATAGTAACCAGCTTATGCACTTTTAATTAGCAGACATTCATCTACTTTGCAAGATAACATAAGTATGATTGAGACTGGTCGATAGCTTGCTAAGATAGAGTCGTATCAAAAAACACAATGTTACGGTCGAATCAAGGTATTTGCACCAGATTAACGAAGCAGACAGAACGTCGTTTTACAATCAGGATGCATAATCATTTTTTGCTTCCAAACTAAGCAAGATGAAGGGCAGACAGACAAGTCTTAGTTTTCAAGTATAGGCATGAGACGTAGAGCAAACTGAACTATCTCAGGGCAAAATCAAGCACACACAAATCATTAAATTGCAATACAATTGAATATTAACCTTCAACTTCTTATCATTTAAAATGTGTCACAAAAGCTGTAGCCACTTCAACCCAACAAATATTCCGTCCGCTTATAGTCAGATTGAACCGTGTAGTTCTATTAATTACTGTACTTGAGTCATTCATTCAGTCAGAAAGAACAGTAGTGCATGCAAAGCTTGCAGAGTGTTTTTAAGAAATGCAATGAAATCATGCAACTATTTTACTTTTAAAAAGTCTGTTCAACTTCTTGCCGTGTAAAATGTTATCCCAGTCTTGGCATATGAAATAATTCGACTCTTGTGATTCTTGTGGTAAAAATATTTAAATTCAGCAAACAATGGTAAATTAGCTAGTGCTGTACATACATTTATGAATAACGCAGGATAAAGTATTTACTACGGGTCGATGATTCGACTGTTTTTACACCTATTTTTATTCTAAATTTTAACAAAACTTTGTCTCAATAAATACCTTACAGAACAACAAATTCGAGGTGGTTTTTCAAAGTTGCCAAAATTGCGCAATAAATATAGAAATTCTTAATAATGCATCTGCCAAACCTACAGAAATAAAATGATATTATTATAAATATGACATCTGAAAATGTGAATCTCATTTTAACTGTTTTGAATTTATGTTTAAAATCGCATTGGGTCAATGTGATCTAAACTATTTTGAAGGACACTTTCAATCTCGGCCAGTCCATGCAATCAGATGTATTTTGATAACATGGGAACTACAGCTAGTTCTCACCATTCTACTTTAGTTATCTAGTGTATTTCGATGATTGCTCCTCGTTGCAAACAACTTGCATACATATGTTTGTGATGTGTATGTATCGCTAATCGAGAAGACATACATAACTTCATCAGTCGTATAATTACATCAACAATAATGGCGAAGAAATTATAAAGGTGTGGGTGACATTTTATAGCAACTATTGTGATTGTAGTTAATATGTATATTTATTTCTGTAAAAGATTTTGTGCTATTTTACATACATGGGATAATCACATTGTTGAACAATGTTTCTTTGTAAAATGGCAGTGTTACACAATTTAAACCCTTTTTGTTGGGAATGATAATAATGGTTTGATTGTGAATATGATGGTGAAAACGATGTGCAATGCATGCACACTTTTTGTGCTGCTGCCATTAGTCAAAATTTGTGATCCGCTGCATCTTACATTGTGTGGAACTGGAAATGCAATTCTCGCCTACACTTCAACAGATGAGAAATAGACATTCTTAAAAAAGTGTAGCTAATGGGTCAAAATTTTAAACTGCTGAACAACAACGCTTAAGGTTGTTGCACTGCGAAACTGAGGTACCTACATATCTCCAGAATATAGGCGAAATATAAAAGTTTAAACAGCACACTCATCCTCAGTTCAGTCGGTTTGCATTTTTAATTAAGGAAAACTAATTGAGTTTGTCTCAATGTGTGCATAAATACTTATTTTTGTGAATAAGTTTCTACAAATTCAAATATTCTAGGTTTACAAAATAAAATAAATTATTGTTGGATTTTTTACTTGGATGATTGACTTGATGGAATGCATATGTGAAACTTTCTTACGGCCATTGCATTTATTGCACATCTTAATGCCTAATTTTGGGCAGATGATGGAACGAGATTATCATGGCGTAACAATAAGAAGAATGCTTGATTGAATTTAATAGCTACATGTTGCCCACGTACATACATATTTATTTGCCTTGACTGTTGAAGGGATTGCAAACCTTGTTTACTTTTGCACGACACACAGCACAATTATCCAAATAAAAGCAGAATGAATGGGCTTTCGACAAAGTAATTTTTAAATCCTGCAGGGAAAAGTGAAAACAATGCATGATTTCCACACGTCTCACTCTCTGGCCGACGACTGACTCGAATGACTGAATACAGGTTCTTTAGAATCAATATTTAAATTCAGCATTGCATTTCTGTTGTATAAGGAAATGCTTTATTATAAGTGACCCAGGTCATAAATAATGCAGTTAATTATCATTGAGGTTCGTAGGATTTCACTAAATGGAAAGTCAATGTCAAGTCAAAGGTTGAATATTGTAGAATGCCATGTGTATGCATATTATACTATGCTACGTAATTATAAGAATCAAGCAATAATGATAAATGCAAATAGTCAAGATCAATTATCAGGGTTTGGTAAGGTTGCTTCTTCTGTTGGAAGTTGGATTTATGTGTGACATTAGTTTAAATATTTTTCATGAGACAATAGTTTAATCGGGAATTGCTTTCTGCTTTTCTTTCCTGTCATTCACCAATCGTCACAAAATTTTAGATCGTCTTATTTACTAATTTGCCTATTGTATGCAATAATTTTTGACAAGGGCACACAAAAATTGAACGCGAATTGACACGTGTCTAAAATACATATCTAATAAGCAATATGGGATTACTTATAAAGGTAGATCAATTAGCATTAAATCAAAATTAAATATCTTGATTATTTATCATGCGAATATTAATCAATTATAAGATGTCAACCATCCCAGTCACTTTTAAGCCAATTTAAAAATAGTGAGAAATTAGCTTACCGGTGTGGCTGGAGAAAGTCCTAATTCGACTGCGAGTTGGTCACTTTTTTGGAGAGTTTGAGGAAGAGATTGCAACTGAAATGCAACCTGATTGATACTGACGAACTCAGACCAACTTAGTTTTGCTTTGGGGAGATTGAGCTGCCTTTCGAATGGGATTACCTTCGTCCACCTGCATACCTTTCTGCACCTTGCAAAAACTAAAGCAAGGCAGATTTAGTTGGCCCTGATATACTATTGAGTAGCAGGATTTGCAGGTACATACATACACTCAAGTACACAGATGAATGATCATTCCGTCGAGTTAACGTAGGATTAGGTGACTCATCGTCACAGGTCTAAAAATCTTAACATTTTTACGCATTTCTCCGTTCTGGGAATTTATTTTTAAATTCCATCAGATCCATTTGTAGGCCAGATCAGTACCAATTTATTAAAAATATGTACTCTAGATTTTGACAAGTTTTGAAGGAGGAGATCAAATTTTTCTGAAGGTGTTCACTCTTTTTGGGTCTCCTCCTTCAAAACTTGTCAAAATCTAGAGTACATATTTTTAATAAATTGGTACTGATCTGGTCTACAAATGGATCTGATGGAATTTAAAAATAAATTCCCAGAACGGAGAAATGCGTAAATATGTTCAGATTTTTAGACCTGTGACGATGAGTCACCTAATCCTACGTTAACACGAACATGGATGACTTTTTATGTACAACAAAGAGAATCCTGTCTGGTGGATTGATTTGAACATGCAGTTCAAATTACATGGACATTGAATACATATACAGATGTACAAACATGCATAGGTTATGACTGAATTTTGACATGGAAATGAAGGTTCGATATCTTTGGTGTTTCAAAATTTAACGGATTAATGTAAACGAGCTTTAATTCCAGAGAATAAAAATAAAATAACTGAAAACCCACATAAATTTGGTTAGATAATTTTCAACACTATTCATTTAGGGTTCAGTGTAGCTGATGAAATCTCGCCAGCAAAAAAAGTTTGAATTTGAATGCAAAATACCTTTTCTATGCATGCACAAACAAATAGAAAGGAAAAGTTGTTGGGAAAGATCAGAGGTTTCCGAATTGACTATTAGCATCAATTATTATAGAACATTTGAAACAACGTTCGTGACAATCTTGACCTGAAACAGGCATAATGAGGGTACAACATTAACCGACAAAGGCAACTATTTAGACGGCAATTTGCAAACAAATAACTAGATATTGGCTGCATAATACGTCTCGTATCAGTGGAGGTGCATCAGACTAATATCTACTTTGCTCCATGGTAGACTAGCCAATTTCAATTATGAGACGAAGGTTGGTTCGGGTATGTTGGACACCTTGCTTGATAATACTAGAATAGAATGCAATGGTTCGCTCGCGTTCTAAATATAATTAGGTCAATTCGGGCGGACCCGATTGGCATTCTAATACCTAGTCAAAACAGAACTTGTGTTCCCACCACCTCTCTAAAAACTTCCGACGTGAAGTGTATCTGTCGATAATTCATTCTCAGTTGATGGGAAAAGTGAAAAGGAAAAGTAGCTTTCTTTGGGGTTCAGGATAACAACACAGAAAGTCGAGGCGTGTGATCCATTGTAACTTTGCAGGAGGTTGAGTAAATCACCTAATTCGGATGTCGGTGATAATAATGCTTTCCTACAAATGTGCTCATATGTCACGCTCATATATCTGTCAAAAATATAGGGCACCGGTGGCATTCCAAATAACTTTTGTGGTGCTCGGTTGAACATTCGTTGAGCACACATTTTATTCCGATATTCTTGAACCATAGACTTGGTGTTCTTTTTCAGGTCTTTCCGAACAAAAATACGTCTGACATACAATAGTATTATACATTATAAATACTCTATAAATGTATACGTACTCTTATAAATTCTAAATTATTCTTTATAATGGTACGTATCTACTTATGTTATTGAACGATTTGACCCATGTTGGTTCGAAATTTACTACTCACCGATTGTTAAGTAACCATATGGCTTTTCATTAATTTTCGGTCGATTTCAGTTCAATTTAAATGAAACATAGATGGACAGATATTAAATAGTTTGATTTTTGTTTCTGGACGATGTCCAGAGAAAAGTGGATAAGCCTCCTAAAGGAGACCTAGAAGGCTTAACTCCATAAGAACGCATAAGCCACATTGAGATCAAAACTGACCAATTCGACGCCAGGGATCCGTTTTCGACCCCTCCCAACTTTCTCACTATATAACCTCTCACTTTTTTTGAGCTTGTGAAACAATCACAAATATAAACTTGTTTCGATTTTGGCGTCCAACCTTTACAATTTACTGCATTTTTGATAAAGTTGAACTCCGAAAACTAAAAAATTTATAATAAATAATATTTAATTAAAAGAATTTTTTGATTGGATGGCGATGGGTGGGAGGAGTCGAAAACGGATCTCTGTCGTCGCATTGGTCAGTCTGACCCTCAATGTGGCTTATGCGTTCTTATGGAGTTAAACCTTCTATATGAATGTATGTTCAATGGACGATGTCTAGTCTTATCAATTAAAAATATATCAAATTGGAATGCTAAAGCGGAATACGTTTTTCCAAATTTACCTGTTATATGAACATTATTCTCTGTAAGGTGATTTCATGCACTAAATAAATGCGAATATGGATATACATACATATATAATTATCTAGCAAAATTGCATGTATAGTTTCAGTAATAATATGATCTAAATTCTCAAAGAAATCTAATGGTTCACACGCACGATCCGGCAGTTTGTATTGTAGTTCAAGATGGTTTGTATGCTTTTGAAAGTTGTTCGTGTATTTGATTGAACTAAAACTAAAATTATTGGCATTTTCAATAATCATCAAATTCCGGATAAATGTTTACATGATTACTTTATTACAAAATAATTCCCACAAAAGTTTAGCGGCAATGCATTTCTGCAGCCAATTGGAATTAGTTACACGGACTAGATGGTTCTCGATAATAATTTTCGCATATTTAAATCAATGACAAAGATATTAATATTCAAATCGATATTTGGTTAGCTCACAGGTTATCATATAACTTCATATTGTACTTGTAGACATATTCTATGCATAATGCAAGTGATTGATGGTGACCGTGATGACCTCAGTTTGTTTCTAACCGAAATCCACATACTACATGCATATTACTTGCATATTACTATCCTACTGTATAAGAGAACTTACAAGAGACACTACAAGAAATGTAAACTTCACAAGACATAGAAAACGTCGCATATGTATGACTTGAATTTCAATTCAATAATCTTTTGTCCATGTCACTTCAACAGAAAATTTGCATTTGCTCATTGTCAATTCGCAGCAAAAACACTTTCAAAAAGTTTCCACAGTTTGATCTTGATCATGATCTCATCGATGGGGCTTGAAATCTATACGTCAAAATACATACATGTTTTCTATATTGATTTGTCTGTATATGGCCAAAATGACCATATAAAACTTGTAATCCAAATGAGCGTAGAGTGGTTTGATTGATACATTTCTGGAAAATCATCAAGCAACAAGTAACTAAAGACAAGTGTTGTACGTATGTATATGTATATTTTGCATCTACCAAATAGTTAACTTTTGTGTCTGAGAAGCATCTCATTTCCCCTTTAACAAAAACAATTAACAGAAAATTAAGCAACATGCTGCACATTTTAGTCTATTTTGTAATCCTGCCTGACCACAATAATCCAAGATGAAAACTAGTCTACTTCCTACCTACCACTAAAATAATTGAATTTACAAGGCTGAGGAGGCGAAGGACGAGAGCAAAGTTGCGAAAATGACATTGGTCCACAGAGATGGTGATGAAGCAAATGTGGTGGCCCCGGACGCCGAAGGTGCTGCTGTTGTGGTCGTAGTCGAATTATTTCCTTGAAGTTTGGCTGCGTCACCCCCTGCGAACATTTATTACAGATATTATTTCATCGATAATTTCAATAAGTTAATTGATCCAACATAAAGAGTTAATGGATCATAAGTAATATTAGTGTCAATTAAATCACAATTGTAATCTCTCAATAAACAAAGCACATCCGTCGTTACGAATATGCAATCATGCCACGCTGAAATGGTAACGTGGTTCAATTTTGCTTCAGTCTAAATTAATTTGACCAATTCCATTAAAAATATCAAATGGTGATAACTACTGGCTTCTGGCAAGTCGTAAATTTATTATACAAGATGAGCATTTGCTTTGTATGAAGATCTAATTGGTGGCGAAAATATTTTCTATCGATGCTGAATTGAAATGCAAACAGACACTTTGGCAGTTTGCACAAACGGTTTACGATGTGCAATATTTTATCGCAAGTACACATGTGCATACAGGCTGTTTGCGTCCAGGACTCATTTATTATACTTCTGTCAAGGATAAATTTAATATCTAAATGGCTTCTTATGAACAATGGAATTTACAAATACACATTTCTATGTTTGATTTCTGGTTAGATTAAATATGTTTTTTAGATGTTAAATATTTCGTGAGGCCTTTGGTATTGAAACAAAATGCAAAAATCGTTTACCTGGCTGAGAAGCAGTTGTGGCATTTGCTTTGGTGGCGGCAATCACTGGTTCGGGTATGGCGGACCCATTTTCGTGCTTGTACTTGTCCTTGTCATCCGGAGTCAACACTTTTCCTTGCCGCTCCCCACCTGGAAGTTTCGTAGTGTTTTTGAGTCCCTCGGTACTGGTTGGTTCTGGTTCCGCTTCGCAATCCTCGTCCGAAGCATTCGATGTCTTGTTTCCAGAGGTCGTGGCGTTTGTTACGGTGGGGGCGAGAGAGGGTGATTTGCTTGTCGATTTTTCTACCGTTGGCGCAGTGGAATTGTTCGGCGCAGATTGTGCGAGAGCGACAAAAACTACCAGCACAATCAAACAATTGGCTAAAATAGAAATGCTGCCTCTCTTCGGGTCCATTTTGAGAGATGTGTGGGTTCTTTTACGAACTACTGAAACTGGGGAGACAAGGAAATCTGCACCTAAATTTAACAATGAACAGTGAGCGATTGTAATGACCACGAATGACTAACTGCGTAATCTTTCTTAGACGAGGTTCAGGATGAGCATGAGATGTGTCTATAAATCACAAGTCGTTGCTAATTTTTCGCCTGTGGAGAAATGAATAATTTATGTGGGGTTTAACTCATCTAAACCTTCCATGTAATGCATTACAGTGCGTGTGCATCTGCCTCTGTAAGCACGTGAGACAGCTTCGTAAGGTTGTAGTTTATTATTTTCAAGAACGGTGATGGCCTTCTTGAATCAATTAGCAGAACTGACTTGACGATTGCTCATCCTTCAAACCGCGTCATCAAATTGTCAAAATTAAGCCATAGCTCTTCTCATTTAGTAATTTTAACATTTGGAGCGGACAACATCACTTGTCGGGAATCTTTAACTGTTAACTCCTTAATTTAAAAGGCCTAGTTATAATTATAATAAGAAGTACTAATTGCTTTCCAATAGTGGAACTATTACTTACCAGATATTATATATTTACTCATTCTTATTGTTTCTTGAAGGTGTTTGTATGCTTATTACCCTTCTGCGAAGCTGTCAATAACTAGGGTCTGCCTTTTCGCGTGATCATTACCAGATCATGTCCAGAAATTACCTGAAATTAGCTACCCACAATAAATGCATGGTAAACCGTTATCTTAAAGTTCAATTACCAAATTCTCAATACTTAGAATTAGTTGGAACTCAATAATTGGTGATTGCGTATATCTATCAAAAAACCCAAATTGTTTATGTGAAAACACCAATTTTCAATAACAAAAATATAGCTGTCATACTTCCCACTACATGCGTGGAACAAATACCGTGTACATATCTGCAGAATAAATATTGAACGCGTCTCCCATCTTTCATTTAGATAGAAGTGACATGTTTTTTATTGTTGTGCCTACGTGAGCCCCAACACAGTAATCACTCGTAGAAATTATTGACATCTGCTCCGACTTGATACATTTTTTTCATAATTGTGTTATACAACTTTTACTGAAAATTTCATATTCAAAACTTGCAGACAGACATACAGTATATATTTCCAACTGAATAACACACACTCGTGCCATATCCACAGACAAAAAGCTTTTGCAATTCAAAGCACTCATTCATTAAAGAGGAATACAAAGTCTAATAAATTGTAATTTTTTGATTTTTTAAATTAATTCAATTTAAATTTAAATTTCTCCGTCATTACGTGGACCAAATCGCATTCTAACAATGAGTTAAACCTCCTCATGAATTCCAAGTCATACTAATCAGCCAAAAGAATGGGAACAATTAGAAAAGTTTTAAACCTAAACTAGTTTTTCGCAGATTCAAACTAGTATAATCTCCGCATTTCGTTCTTTCTGTCACCTCTGCATCCGAATATAAATTGAGAGACACGAAAAGATGCAAGATCAATATCATTCCCACTTCCACGACATCAGTACTTCAAGTCCAGATACAACATTCGTCGCTAATATATTTCTACATATTCTCATAATAAGCAGCAATAGCTATCGCAAGCAAGCAGGTACACTTACTTGGCTTTTCAGAATCTTTTCACCCAAATTTTCAGCCAAATTTTCATTGTACATTGACTTATAATATTTCACTTTGTTTCAGATCAACATGTTCCCAAACCATAAAATGGCTTTATTGCTGATGGTGGTGGCCATTTCTGTCGTCCTCATCACGGCCACGCCAACGACATCAAGGTCACAAACGAGTTTTCAGGAGTCGCGGCAGGGTCCGATGAACTCAGCCGAATGTTCATGGTCATGTCAACGCCTCAGAAGCTGTGCTGCCTACAAATTTTTCTTCCCTTTCTTGGAATGCAGGCCAGCCCCTCAAAGATGTGCTTGCTAAGGCATATCGCACCTCGTGCAATCCAGTGATATATGTGCCATCAAATGTATTATTTATTAAGGAAGCAAAGTCTAGAAAAATATTTTATAAGTTTATACACATCGTTTCATACGCAAGGTCAAAAGACAATAAAATCAAAGTTTACTGTGGTCGAACAAAACTCAAAATGTGTTGTAGCATTTTATTATTTTCATTTTCATGCGCTTATTTTACAAAATACTAATAAAATTACAAGCTGGAACTCTTAGCAGGACCAAAGTATAGTTATTTACGTCAAATTCAACAAAAAATTGAGACAAATGCATAAAATAGTATGCATGATATATGTCTATTTCAGAAAAAATCCTCTCTATTAGATTCCCCCTACGGATAATGCTTAATAGTATTTTACGATTATACAATTTGGATAACCCCCGTTAGGTAGTTGCTATATAGACTGTGGAATTGGCCATATGGATTTTTTTAACTGGTTAAGAATGCTTTACTGTATAGTTAATTGGTGGGCTTAAATTCCAATGCAAAATGCGTGTCATCGATCTACCACTTACTCCACCAATTTATGTTTCTTCTCAACGATACACAATAAGCAAAATTGTTAAACATTGACAAATTAAAAGTTTGTAGTTAAAATAATAATTTTCTACTCTGAGCTTCGATGTAGCTCCTAAATAGATGTAGTATTTAGTAATGTTCAAAATCCCTCGTTAAAGGAAGCTTTATGCATATTTTGACCATTCATGCCTGACGATAATTACGAATTGTTTATGATTTTAAGTGCAATCAGAAATAAGATGGTAAGCACTGGACATGCCGTTAATATGTGTCACTTGGTGACATGAGATGATGAATATATTCCAGAAGGTTTACTTTATTCTTCTATTCATGTTTTAACTAATACATATAACTATTAGCGGATTAAAGTTGTCGCTATTGTAAATAAACCTTGTGACGTTATCTGAAGTACGTTAATTTTTGGATAATATGTAATAATATGTCGTTTGGGCTTCTATGAATATCGCATGGACATCCCTCTACTGGACAAAGTTAAAATCTATTCACAACAAAGCAAAGATCATAGTATGAAGTCAGGTATTATTGTCTACCTCGAAATAAAAGAAGAACGCTGATGGTGGATAAAAACTGCATTGAATGGTACCAGCCAGCTTCTCTAAAAAAAACACAAAGTCATTCCCGATTCTTGTGGTATATTTGTTATGCTGCTGGTTCCTCTTTTATTCACGGAGATCTATGCATGTGTGACTGAGATACATTGATATTTGCATAGCCAGAAAGTAAAAGATATCATTCTCTCATACACCCATTACAAAACAAAGTAAGTCAAATGCTATGTTCATTTTTGCTCTCCAGAAGGTCACAGTGGATGATTTTGCACACTTTTTGCCCTGGCTTTCAAATGAATTGTATTCAACGGGAATAAAACTCTGTATGGTTGAATGCAACTTTAATGAGAATAATGGTGGTGCAGTGGTATTCTTTAAAGTTTGCCTTGATTAATCCCATCCAGAAATCCGTACTTGGTTTTGTCTTCAAAGTAATATTCCGTGCATAATTTGAGTCATTATTAAAATTCCAGCTTAATCAAAGTCAACATATTCATAGATCTGTTTCTGGAATTAATTGTTGTTGTGAGTTAAGACACGAAAATGAAGATTTGCAGACCTAGAAAAGTTTACCATCTTGAAACAGTCATTGGTGTAATATTTATTGTTTTGTCTCATGCCAATCCTCCTGTATATGCGAATCGTCATCACGGTCATAGTCATGGACGACAGCAGAAACAGCCCCTCTGTGCCACCCAAACCGAACAAAAACCTCCAACTGCCCCAGACTTTGATAACGTCCATCCTGCTGCTCCATTAGATTCTGAAATACCTGCTGATAAAGTTGCAAAACCCGAGTTAAGTATATTTCCAGGTGCTCCGAATGGACCTACTGTCATTCCATCACCAATTTCTGGCCCTGGTATTCATATATTTCCACCTGGAAGTCAAGAACCAGTAGCAGAAATTGTGCCTGACCAGATTCCTAATAATCCAAAGTCCGGTTACATATGCAACAGATATGTTCTACTTATTTGTGTTCGTTGAGTATTACGTGTATGATTGTATGTCAAATAGAACCTGCCCTGATGGATCCGGAATTTACAAGAAAACGGACATTTGTTACAAATTTGCTAATAAAAATCTGGGTAGTGAAGAACCATCTCCTTGTGGCCCATTCATGGAATTCTACCAGAGCAATTCAAACCCTGCTTACGGACAGTGCGACTGCAAGGATCAACATCTTGGAATTTCGCGTCCAATTGCTTATTGGGAAAAATCGGATCAATGCTTTTGGCTGTTTGATCAGGTATGAAACAAGCGTCAACAAATGATGAAATTGAATATGCGTACATTTTCGTTAATTTAGGGCCCGTGTCAATCCGATGAATGGCTCGTTTTAAACGACAACGATGTTTCCATCTGTAGTAAACGAAGTTGTCTAGAAAACACTCTTGACGATTGGGATCTTGCTAAAGGAAATAAGAAATACTGGTTTCGCCATCGAGGAAAATGCTACAAATTTGGTGCAAAAGGCTTCTGTGAAGACCCAGAACTTAACATTTATTTAGTGCTGAGAGACCAGCGATATGTCACCGAGTGCAAACAATTCAATATTGAAGTCAAGACACTGCTCAATGGTGCAAAACCCCTTCCTTGTATGCCAGGTCAAAAGGAATCTGCAACAGGAGAGTGTAGAAAATCAGCTACATTTGAGTGAATTTTGCAGAATAAATTGACGGAAAAGAATTATTATTGACGAATTAATACATATGTCACAAAATCAGTGGTTAACTCAAAGTACTGGAAAAAGACAGTGCAGTGTGGTGATGAGAATTGCATTAAAACTAAAGAAAATTTAAACGAGGAAATTATTCGAAGGTTGGGTCAACATTGAAAACAGTATTTTATTATGTAAAGCCAATCTATCAATAAAAATAACAATGTATTTAGCAAGATAATTGTCTCTTTACAAGATTAAAGGTGACAATTTACAGATACGACTAACTTCAACCAATCTAATGATCCAGTTCTCCATTCTCCCATTAACCTTGACGCATGCCATTTGTAGATTTTATTGTTTTTGTTTATAATAAACCCATCGCCACAGTTGCATGAACTTAATTGATCAAGGCTTTTCAGATCATTTTTTTCTGCATCCGCTGCATAACTTTATCTTACCTACTGCATTACATGATCATAATTCGTGAAACTCCATCAATTAGTTTCGCCATCTAAACTGGAGCTTCCTCATCAGAGAACAATGACACGCCCCACAAACCTGTCTTTGTTCAAGTTTTGTTGTCAAAGACTGCCAAAAAAGTAATCGATCTTGATGCATCCTTGTCACAGAAAATGAAGAATTGACAAGAACCAATTCCACATTTAGTTGCCATACAGTAGGTCGACCCCTGCCCACAGAAATGTGCCCAAAGCAGGTACTTAGATTTTTCAGCTTACATTTTTGTAGCTTATTTCGCAATGTTGTACTTTTTACCCGACCTTTGAATGGCAACTAAATGTGACAAATACGACGTATTTTTATATCTATTCAGGTAAAGAGGAAAACAAATTTCATTCTCGTATATATAAAACATGTAGCAATGTGTATGAAATGTACGTGCATATGTACACAAACATTGGTAAAAGTACATTGATTGCATATATTTATTGTTGGATATGAAACATGAAAATTTTTGACGGCGAGAGGGGTTTTAAGAAGTTGACATTAAAGTTTTTTTTTAATTTTCAGCAATTTCCACCACTCAGACGTTACAAAAGCATCCTGATTTGATGGTACACACGTGGTTATTTTTTAGTAGTGCATAGTAGTTAACTTTACAGTTGGAAATATCGTTTTGACATTCAACTAATTAAATAATCATATAAGTTAGTAATCATTATCTAAAAGAATGTAATAAATTCCCCTTGGAGTGAATCCATATAAAAATTGCAAAACTGCCAAAACTGCATAGTTGAATGATATTTATTCGTTTTGCAGTTTCATCACAGATCAACATTCTCTAAAATAATAACAATAATATGAAAATTTGCAAAAGTTATACAATGTGCATGCCAACGGGCTAATGATGATGTAGGCTGATGAGACATAACCCGATGCACAATCAGATTCGGCCCGAATGCGTCCCGCATACGATGTTTTCGGTTTAGAGGCGGCCGAAATTATCGCCTCAATTACGACTACGGATAGATTTCTAATTTCAGATTCTATGTAGTAACTCACAGTAGCGGGTGGGCCACCTTCGGTTTCAAAGCTAAAAAAAGATTTCGTTTAACCGACAAATTTATGCTATCGAGCAGAATTCGGATTTTCTCTCGCTATCCGAATTCTGCTGCCGACTACGGCCCGAATGCGGGGCGAGCTCAGCTCAGCAGCGGGGTTTTTAAAAACTATATGCCATGCCTTTCGCTATTAGCACTTAGCACCGGTCGCTGATTTCGCTACTCAACGTCCCAGAAAACAGTGAATAGTTTAAAGAATAAACCCGTTGCCGTGGTTTTCGTAGAAGAAGATAAAACTTTGGTTTCGGATGTGTCAGCAAACTGGTTAAGTGCCAATAAGTGCCCAGTGTTCTTGGCCATCAGGTCCAGGAAGTCAGAAGTAATCAAAAATAAACCAATCTTGTTGTATCCGATATGAGCTGGGAAAACACCAAAGCTCTCTTCTTAAATTTTCAAGTAAGTTTCCATTCTAGGTGGTATTATAAAATGATATAATTTGTCAGTATATTAGGATGCAATATAAATGTAAGTTTATATGTATTCCGTTGCTACATTAAATAAAGTAAATTGATTTGTGAACTTTCGACTTGTGTATTTTAATTATTTTAAATTCGGGAAATATCATTCGGAGCGAGTGAGATATATAGCACGCGGATAGAAAGCTGTACTCCGAAAGCGCATAGAATGCTGAAAGTCGCATACGGACCGAATTCGGGTTACGCATTCGGGGGGAAATCTTTTTGTGGCAAGATCCGCATGTGGGCCGAATTCGCTAGCCACCCGTGGAACGCATTCGGACCGAATCTGATTGTGCATCGGGAAGTGTATATCGAACACATCATATTATGTCAACGCACTTATTTGCATGCTTTTGTCTCAGAACTAAATATGTAGATACATAAATATGTAAATGTACTAACAACTAATATGAGCACTGTATTTGTATTTATGTATAAAGTAAATTGCATTTATTTATGGATTTCGAAAGTGTGCATTGTGTTAATAAATGGATTTAATTTTATCCAAATATGTAAAACTTGATGTAATCCACTCCAAATTAAAATGTAAATTCACGATTGGAACCAACATATTGTTGACAAATATTTGAAAGACGTTCGGCTTACAGTCAAAAAAGATTGTTTGTTGATTGTTCCTGTTTTTCACTTCAACCTGCTTTAATTGAAATAGCGATTACCGACTGAGATGAGTTACATACGTATTTGCATTAGTTATGCTTTGACGAATTCACTTCGTTTACCGAACTTACAAAATATTGCTAGTAGTTAGTATGCATCCATAATTATACAAAATCACTGAACCAATCCGATGAAATTTAGAGTGAATCTGAGCAGTAAATTGAAGCTCATCATCCTTGTTTTGGGTTATGATTATGCATTTAGCTTGCAGTAGGAATTCCGGAACTTGCTACTTTTTAGGCTTCATTAAGCAGAGCTACAAATAGTTCATGGCTTTTATTGTAAATCTATTTTGGTAGAAACTTTACTTCGTGACAAATTCCTCTTTCATACGCTTAGTTATATTTCAGTACATAAATATGCGAATGTGTAGACGAGGAAATTTTGTTGAGAGTTGAAGACAGTCAGTCCGTTGAGAGTCAGTCAATTCAGAACTGAATGCATCTTTTCTTCACGGATACGAAGCCAGGTTTAAATAGGTCATTTATTCTTACAATGATACCACACAACTCCAAACTGCATCTAAATATTTAGATATTAACTTTTGCCAGCTTGGAGAAGGTGATCACTGACCGTCAAATCCGTCTAAATATAAGTACAGATTAAATTTCACTTTCGCCACCTTCCACCTAACTTGATGAGCTGCTGTAGACTTAATTGCCGTGATAATGTACTTTACTTTCATTTCATGGCACGTCTAAAGTATGTAAGCAATAATTATTACACACGTTTTACGTTAAGTAAATAAATAAAATGTTCCGTAAATTGGAAATCAGGTTTATTAATTGCGCTGCCTTACATAATTGTTCCTCATCGAAGGGGTTTAGGGTACTTCTTGTACTTCCTAGCGAACAATATTAATATCACGGATAATTAAAATCATTTTAAAACATGCATTATTAGGTATTTATTATTGGTTGTAAAACAATTCAGTTTGTGTGTTTAAATGATGAACAAAAGATACATATAAAGGGTGTTAATAAAGTCCGATCCCATTTTTCCTATAAAAAAGTGAAGGCTAGTATAAAAAAACTACCCGTGATACTTACAAAAAATGTTCGACATATTTACCTTAGTATTTGGTCTTGTTACCATTTACTTTAACCATGCCCTCAACTCTTTGTTTAAGGCTCTGTGCTAATTTTTCCAATGTGTCTGTGGGAATCGAATTCCATACATCTTGAACTTTTTTTACTAGCTCTTCCCTCGTCCGGGGTTGTGGTTCTTTGTATACATTTTCCTTAAGTATGGACCACAGGTTCTCCAGGGGATTCAAATCTGGGCTGTTTCCGGGCCACACCCCCTTGCTCCAGACCGTTGAAACTTGCGTCTTGATGAGACTCAAACTCGCTTTTGCTGTATGGGCTGTAGCACCATCCTGCATGAAAACTATTTTTCTTTCATTCGGAAATATTTCCTTGTTCCCCATGCTATCGAAATAGATAGGTAATATTTTTTCCATATAATACTTTGCATTGACTGTTTGGCCTTTTGGTATGATATGTAGAGGAGTCACGCCACGTGCACAAAATCCACCCGCTACCATAACTTTAAGCCCGAATTTTGGGACTGCTCTTGATGGTACATCCGATTTGTTTTCTGTCCTGTAACGAACATTTTGTTGGTTCAATTTTGGATATAGCTCAATAATAGATTCGTCAGTCCAAAGGATGTGACTGCGCAATTCTTCACCAAGTCTTTTTTCACTCAAATGGCCACTTTTCTGAAGGAGTTCTCCAAATTTCAGACGGTCATCGATATTTTTTTGTGACATGAGAGGTTTTTTGGTTAGTTTGTAAGCTGTGTGACCCCACCTCGTAGATTTCACAAATTTTTGCACGGTCACATAGTTAATTTGCTTCTTCTTCTCTTTATAGCGTTTTGAGTCATTTAACTCCCTTGCACAATTACGTAATGAACTACCGGTTTTCTTGTAAAGTCTGTTTTTAATCATTCTCTTTGTGGTAGGTGACACCTTTCTGGGTCGCCCGGGTCGCTTTTTGTCGTGGACAAAATTTTTGTTCTTCCATTTCCAAACAGTTCTGCGGCTGCAGCCCAATTTTTGCACAATTTCTGCAGGTTTAAACCCCTGCTGATGCAATGTTTGTATCTTAACTCTAAGATGCTCATGACTTACACGTTTAGTTGTTCCTCCCATGGTAAAAATTTGAAATAAATAACTTCACTGGTTCAAAAGTTCCAGCTGAATTTGTAACAACCGCGCTCCAAAAAATTCATGGGATCGGACTTTATTAACACCCTTTACAATATATGTAACCACGATTTCGAATAATATATGTAGACTGTCAATTATACACAGGTGATACTCTATGTTTCGTATGAATGTAGATATACTTATGAAAAGTTATTTCATCATTACAAGAGAAATTTTGCATGTTGATTTTCAGGGTCTTCAAGTTGAATTGCAGTTGACATATTTCATCTCTACACGGTATTTGGTGAGTCTAAATGGATTGAATAAATTACTAAAATAGCTGAGAATAATGTTTCGTTGGCGTAGTTGATGTAAATTCTGCTCATTTATCTGTAAAATAACAAAAACATGGGTAAAAAGACGAGGGAACAGAAATGTAGGAGAATTGTGGTTACTTGATTTATTTTAGTGATAAATGCGCTATTAAATTAAATGTAATTACGCTAATCAAAATTGACGTTACTTTTTCTTCTACCGTTCATGAAGGATTGACGTGAAAAAGTGCAATTTGATGCAGTTAAGAGTGAAGTCGTAATAGGTCTTGCTTGCGAGCAAGAAACCATTTGATTAATATGTAGAGCATTAAAAAAGATACTCAAGCGAAATCCGACCGCTCACCATTATTTACCATTTCGAGTCCATGCAATATTTACCACTGCATCCACGCTATGTATTCAGCGTAAGAATTTAGCAGATCTTTGGTTTGGCTCATATTTTATGTGTATATGATGTGGCTTGGTTACTTTCCAAGAGTGTGTCGGCTGACAAACGAGTTTGTAATTTTGGCCACAGCAGAAGCGTCTTCCTTATGAATATTTGGGTGAACACCTTTGATTTGATTGCCCTTCCTCCAGTTTAATAAGTGATTAATTGCTACTAAAGTTCGGTGAAGAAGTGTGGTTTAGAATCAAATATATATTTATTATTCTGTGAGATTATGAAGAGCTACGACAGCAAATTTTTTGGATTATTGGGAATTTTTGGAGCAGCCTTTCTAATTAGTTTTGCAAGCAGTTTAGACATTGATAAGGATAACAGCACGGGGGTTTCTTTGTTTTCTCAAGATAATGCAGATTTTGGCGAGGATGAAGATTTTGCGTTTGCAGATAGTTCAGAGCAATTGTAAGTGAACTCATTACGTGCGGTGATTTAAGTTAGACCTTGTGCAGTTAGATATTTATGCAATGTGTCATTCGTTAATATTTTAAATAATAATCAGTAGAAATAAAAAATGAAATTTTATTTAATGAATATTCCGTTGATGTAAAAATTAACTGAAATTTATACGTGGATGAGACTATACGATTCTTTATATTTTATGTATGTACTAGCGTATAGCCCGGCCAAGGCCGGGTTCTAGAGTTCCAGTGGGGGGTGTGCCCAAAGCGAAAAATCCGTCATACTATATTTTAAATAATTCCTAGTGGAGACTTTGTCATACTACATACATACATCAGACTGAGGGTTTGCCCAAGTCATACTGCATTTTAATTAACCTGGTCACAGTAAAATTTGATTCCCCCCTGTGGGAGTAGTTGAATAGCTAATTATTTAAATTCCCGTCGCGTGGGAGTAACTGCATAGCTAACTATTTAAATTCCCACGCTTCACGCTCCCGTTAAGTTCCATAAACCCCGTTAACTTCTACAATTAACGCCAAGCTATTGACGGATTCGGATTCAGCGTCAAAAATACATTCGAATTGATATGCGACATCACGAATAAGCCAGATTTGGACACTACGGTCACGGCGAGGTCACGGGGGCCTCGCAGGTCAAAACCATTGACCGCGTTGGATTCAGCGTCAAAAATACATTCGAATTGACATGCCACTCGCTGTGGGTAGAGTTTCTCAAACTAAAATAATTAATTAATAGTGTTTATCACGATCACTTATCATGATAACCACTATTGATGAGTGATGTATGTATGTGGGGTGTACATGTTCATGTATTCATTTATTCATGCAGTGCAGTGCATGCATGCAGTGGTTGCTCCGCTTCCTTCTTTGTCTACTGTATGGGGCAATTTGCATTGCGAAGACGGACCCAGGGACCCAGGGATCATACTAACACTTTATTAGAGTAGATGTGTGTACAGAATAATCAGAATATGGATTGAGTGGAGTAACTTGGACGCGAGTAAGCTTATAACATGATGTAAATGTAAAGTGTTTTGTCACCAAAAAATTCGAAACTCCGTTAGGACACCCAGACTGACCAGACCCTCTTCTATAATTGTCTCAAGTCTCATATTTCCGCAAAAGTATCAAAGTTAATCCCAGGGGTAGGTTATCATAAAAGGTTAGGTATGGGGAAAGCGTAATTGTCTCTGATTAGCCAACCTTTTGCTAATTAGCAGCAACTAGGTTAGGTTATGTTATAAACTTGGAGAAGAAACTCACGTCCAAGTTACTCCAAGACAGGGTATGGATTTAGGAACATTGTGTTTTTTAAGTGTGTATATAGTGATATTCATTTTTGAACGTTGTAGACCCTGTTCTGACCTGAGAGGATATGCTTTCGATAACTCCACGACCAAAAAATGTTGGTCGGTGGGGGAAAGGGGACCGTGTCCTCCGCAGATGAAATTCATGAAAAATCCTCTCCACGAAGGTTATGGAGAATGCGACTGCCTGCAAATGAAAGTATGCAATTTATATATAAAAAGACAGATTGAAAATGAGAAACAACATTATGTACCTGTTTCGTACCCATGAAGAATTGCATCGGACGTCCCAGGTCATACTGGCCACCGACTGATCGCTGCTACTTTATCTATTCTCAGGTACAATTCACGTTTTGCTTACCTTTGAATTAATTAATTAAAATGTTGAATGAAAAATGTTAAGTGGCCCTTGTACATGGACATCATTAAAACGTTATATTTATATAGGGCCCATGCCCCCCTGGACAATGGTTAGTATTTAATAGTGAAAGGAAGCCAGAGTGTCGTCCAAACCTGTGTGGAAAACAAGTAAAGCCGAGTCAGAAGAGCTTGGATTTTCTGTTTCCATTTAATGGAACGTGTTACAAGACGGGAACGACTGCTTTTTGTGAAGATCAGGCAGAAACGGTTTACATTTCTTCCAGTGACCTGAAACCAAGATGCTACACCACGAAACCCGTTTGCAGATTTCTAATTTTCACGGCAAAGACATTGTCCTGTCGACCTGGAAGCAAGCTAGACGTCACTGGCAGATGTAATCATATGAGGGAAATGGATGAAGAATAGATTTGCAAAAAATAATAGCAATTCCTGTGTGAATGCAGTGTGCTTTTACACACGCATTTGTAACCAATTAAAACAAGTTAATTCAAAAAACAAAGTATAGACATTCTGCCCTAAGTGCTTACAAAACTGACATTAAATTAAACATTCTAAAAATGTCAAGCATATTTGTGTCGTCCCAATGCTTAATTGCATACTTCCTTGTTTACATACTTGCCTGATTTTGAGGGAAATTAAATTAATACGCATAGAAAAATACTACTCAAACCTTTTGTCGTCTTGTTGCAAAAGTGTGTTAGCTATGTTTATTGGAATAATATTTTTTATAACTTGTAAATATGGTTTTTTGTACTTTCGTCGAGTATAATTTCTAAATAATGCAATAAATTTCCAGGTAGCTTGTAGTCAGTAAGAGGAAACTTATTTCAATGTCAACCATGATTTAATTAATACTTAATAACGATAGTTGCATCGTCATCTAATGATGATTCAATGATTGATACACCACGATGGACATATATGTACATACATGTTTTTAAGCAAAATGCTTTATGAGGATGCTTTTGTACCCGTATTTGACATAAAAATTTCTTTGCATATCTTCAACTTATGTAAACGTTTCCCAACGCTCAGAATTGCACATTCATGGACATAACATTTTAAGATATATTTTTATAATAATTCGTAGTACAAATTTAGTATTATGCACGATATGTGCATTTAATTTTTATATTTTTATATTTTTTATCAACTATAATTTTTGTTGCTGCAACTTTTTCCATAAATATGTTTTATATTTACTGCAACAACGTTACATATACTCATGATTTTATAATTTACAGATGCAATTAACATAATTTCAAATTTTTAAAAGAATGAAAATAGCTGTGTAACTCATGAAAACGGAGGCATTGATAAAGCATTTGTTTTTTAGCATGTTTGGTTGACCTCTACGCGACCACTGTCACACCTCATTCAACAGCGTCGTTTCAAAACACGGTTCAGTAATTACACATCTTGGAAAACACAAATCTGTATTTTATTTAATAGGCTCTATTAAATCGAGTCTACGAGTATATGCAAGCACGAGGATATTCTGGTCCATTGTTACTCTAGAAAAATAATCTCTCCAGGGCAAATGATGCTTAAATACCTCGAGTACAACATAAATCACTAATTTGAAAAGTATCTCAGAGAGTTATGTTGCCTTAAATTTTATCACTAAAAAATGGTCAATAATACAGCCGCATATATGTATTACATAGATGCGTATTATCTTGTCATATCTTTTCTCCTATGTATATAAAGATCCCATGATCTCTAGACCATTGTGAATCTATTTACACAGTGCCTGACTGTGCTACGGTGAAACTTATGGTAATAAAGTGCATACAAAATTTGTCTTTTCATGTTGTGACTTTGCCGTGTATGTAAATATATGCCGTGCCAATTTGCAATGAACTTCAGTTGCATCCCGATACCTCATCGTTCCGCTTGTTGCAAGTTTTTAAAATGATTGGACTTTTTCAAGCTGCAAAATCATGCAGTATAATTATTACCGCATTAATAATATGTGTCGACATGGGATCAGCAGATAAATTCAGGTCGGTGCGTACGTTTTACATTAGTAATAATTAATAATACATGTTGTTTCTTATTACCTTATTTATTAAATTATCAGCGGACTCTGTCCACCAAGTTATCCGCGATTGGTAGTTCACAATTCTACAGGACAATGTTTTCAAGTTGGAAATAAAGGTCCATGCAGCAGTCTGTCCGTTATTGCATCCGATCCGCTAAATCCTAATTATGGAATTTGTCGCTGTAAGGATTATGGTTCAAACAACTGCTTTGGTCGTCCCCTAATTCCTCACAAGGACAGATGCTATTTCGAATTTAGTCAGGTGAATTTAGAGCATAATTAAAACAATTATTTTGAAATACTGAACTAAAAATATTTAAGCTGCGTGAGTTATGAAAATGAAAAGTACACCTTACCCAACCTATAATGTGTCATCAGCCTTATAAATTTAGCATATTTATTTTCTAAAAGGGTCCATGCAAGAAAAGTCAGTGGTTCATAAGGAACAAGTATGGAAATGCAGAATGCCGGAAAATGCCGTGCCCCATCATTGAACGGCAACGAGACCTTTTATTCTCCGAATTTCCAGAAACTGATTTTTATTTCACAATTGCTGGAGGGAAACAGTGCTTTAAAACTGGAACACAAGCATTTTGCAATTTTGGAGAACGAGTCTACTTTCTTGGGACAAACAGATTTCCTTCGTGTTTAAGATATGACCCATACAATTGCAACGCAATTCTTTCTCCAGGATCTGGTATCGGCGATGATTATTATTACGGAGACCATTTCAATCCAAATCAAGAACCTGTGGCGTTTGGTGTTCCGTATGATGGAATATAATGCAAACAATCTGATATAAATTACCTTGTCAGTTTTTTTGTAACAATTTATCAGGGTTATTTGTTACTTACATTGTTGAAGTTTTTTGTTGTACACTATTATTCTTATAATTTAATCGTGATGATAGGTTTTATTTACCTGTAATAATAGTTTGTTGGATCAAATTCATGAATTTTTTGTTCGAGCATGAGCAGGGTAGTTATTAGTACAATGACTGTTCGTTATACAAACATACGTAGAGTTATAAGTAGATGACTGGTAAACCCTTAGTGAGTTTCAGGTGGGTCGATCTAGTTGTACGTCGATCTTAATTTTTTCAAGATTTACAAATTACATAAGGGATTAATAACTTGAATGTATACGATACATTTTGACAGCTTTTTTGCTTGTAGTGAATAATGATAGCACACAACAAACAAACTCGTGATATGATTGGGACAAAGGAAACAACGTCGTCTACCTGACTCTTATGATAATAATATTATTATTTCCTACATGGATAGCGCGTCATTCTGAAACGAATACAATTCAATTTTAGGACAATTATAACCCGTGATTGTGGAAATATGTATTTAGGTACAGAAAGTTATTTGTTAAAATATGTACATTGCATACCCATGATTCCCCTGTAATAGTAATTTTCTTACTATATTTAACATAGCTCACTTACCAGGGAATAATAAACGACTTGTTTGAGAGCATGACTTCAAGACTTCTCATTATGATGCCATGTTACAATTAATATAATATGGTGACCCTTGACATAACCATCAAAGATCACATTTATGCATACACATGCATTATACGGTATATGAATATGCAGTACATCTACATATATATATTTATATATATATCAACATAGCTTTTATCACCAGTAACCCATTTTGTGATTTTAATAGTAAGACATGAGTACGATCTGTTGCATCGTGGACTACTCAGAATAGTTTATCGTGCAAAACTAATTGTACAATTGTGAATCAGAATTAGCTCAGCATTTACTTTTCGAAGTTTAAAATGGTCAGTTTTAATTATGGAACTGAATTTACGGACGATACACTGTCCCCTTACGTTTACGTGGGGTTGATCGTCATGTCATTCTGGTTTACTCTCGTCAGTACTGTTTTGATTGCGACGTCTCAGTTAAAACTTCGACACTTACGCCAAAGTCTGAAAAAATTGCACAATGAAACAACGTCAGCCTCCTCAAGACCCAATTGAAGATCATCCAACACCTGGATATATTAATTAATTAACGACCTGAACCAAGTATGTAAAAGATTTCTATTAATTATAATATTATCATTTAATTAGATTTTTATTTCTAAATTTTTATTTTTCTTTGAACATTTCAGAAATACTAAAAGTCAACATTCACCATTTACATATATAGTTTTGTTTTGTAACGAAAGTAGTTGTTTAAAGTTTTTAAATAAAATGCCGTCAATCAATGATATTCCCAAATAAATTGTTTTATTATGTGGAACTCTATGAAGGTTAAAATTAGGTACAAAATCAACGCATCTGTAAATTTGTTTTCTTAAATGCGGCCCGGTGTCATATGACCTGTCCCATATGACACGAGATCTTTCGGGTTGTCGGAACAAAGCAGTCTAAAGTTTACATCGGACGGAATCCTTTGATCGCTTAATGTTCTTGCATCCCTGTAAGTGGTAGGGGTCGGATTGTCCAAATCCACTCCTCTCTCATCATCTTTTTCACTCGTAAAATTTATTTGTTGAGCCAGTTGAGCCAACGAAACGTCGAAATTTTTGCAGAAATGCAGCAGAATAATTGCAGTCAGCACAACCATGAATCCACAAATAAGGCCAACCCAATCTTTTAAGGAAACTGAATGGAAAAAAGAAAAATCGTTGCATTATTAGAATGTTCCGTGTTTTTTGCAAAAAAGGTTTGAAGTTTGTCTAAGGTGTCGCTGGACTATTTTTTGTGGTTGTTATATAGAAAATTAAACTTCGAGTACAGAACATTACTAATGTAGTACTAAAAGAAGTAAGTCCATCATGTCTGAGAAACTGAAACGTTGTTTGCGTAGAAAAATAGGCAAACTTAAGGTACACATAATAAGAATTCATACCGAAACAGAAAAATTCCAATGTTGTAATTGAAAAGAGAGTTTTACAACGAGTTTAATCTGTAAAGTCTAATTTGTAAAATTGTAGGTGAAAATGAATATAATCGAAGTGTCAACCTCGTGACACACATTTTGGTGGGGTCACTGTTAATTGTCTTTTGACTATGCTTGGAAATTATCTACTAAGAAAACCCACATATGTATGTGTATAACTAGTGTTTTGCAGTAAATTTTGTTAAGGCGAATAAATCAACGATATGTAATTCAATGTTACCTGAATCGAATTCTCTAAACAGAATTGCAGAAGCGACGATGACGCATGTTGTGAACATGACGTAGTAAACCGGAGTTACCACTGCTGTATTAAACGTGTCTAAGGCCTTCAGTTCAAACGATAAAGTTCGTTAGTTTAAATATTTAAACATTTCATGTCGAGAGGTTGCATTACTTACTTTATTTAAAAAGTTCATCTGAATGCACACTGTGATAATCTGTATACAGAAAAAAATACGTTAAATATTAAATTGAATACCAAAAATTACGAGTAAAAATAATTAATAACCAGTGCAGCCACGCAAAACCATGTAATCCAGTTTCCCATTTCATTACTTGTGCCTCCCAACGTTAATGTGAGAGCAAGTCCAAATCCCTTTATGGACATTACGCTTAGGGACCTGTATGTAGAAAATCTATTTATATTATGGCACCGAACTTCTATAATGCAGGCGCATAATCGAGGAAACTTTACCCGATAAGAGAACACACTCCAATCCAAATTAACAGCGTGTATGTCGAGGTCTCTATTATTTAACAGCATACGTAATACAAATTAATTTAGAACTAAATCTCATACGAATGGAGGTATGGATAATATTATATTCATTTTGCAAACCTGGCAACTTTGGTCGGAAATGATAAATTAAGATTACGCTTAGAGCAATAGCTGCGTTCACATAAACAATAAAAATGGGGTTCAAAATTTTGTCCTGCAGTTCAGCCATATCTTCGATTTCCTTTTCCATTGGAGCATGAATCACGATAACAGTTGATCCGAGGGTGCATAAAAGACATCCCAGCTTTTTTGGAAGGAGTGGAAAATAAGGCTTGCTCAAAATTACATCGCCATGATGCATGAATTCGTGTTCACTCACCTTTCCAATGAAGTTCAGTCTTTCTTTCAGGTACTTCGAAGACAATATTGTGGTCATCAGGACGCTAAGAACTCCGAGCACTGATACCAGAGACGCAGGAGCAAATGCATATGCAATAAAATTGGCAGCTTCCCCTACGCCCACTAACAAAAGTAATAAATAAATAAAGTCATAAGACGACAAAACCAAATTAAGTGTAATTTTCACCACAATAAGAATTGAGTACAGATTGAATACATACTTGAGAGCAGTCCAGCCCACCAGAGAACACTTTTGAGATAACCTGAAAGTACAACCCATTCTTATCATTCTGCTCTTATCGTACAGTTTCCTTATTACATGTTCAATACTCACCATATCCCCCTTGATTAGCCCTCAACCCTCCTCGACTTAGTCGAATGAGAGCTTTCTTTTTTACAATAAAACTTCCGCCAATAAAAAAACTAGAAATTACGGACAGGCCAACGCCAATCCAAAATCCAACCACATCTTCCTTGGCTTCGCGAATTAATTCTTCGATTCCAGTCGCATTTGTCAGGTTAATGTGTGGAGTTGTTGTAATGATAAAGTTGTCAAACTCTTCGGTAAAATCGGGTTCCATTTCTGTAGTCATTTTCTTATTCACTTGTTCGCTCCTGAGACTTGTATCACCCTTTGTTTTTTAATTGAAATTTGTAGTTGTATAGGCACGTGCACCATATTATTAAAACTTTAGAGAATTAAAATCCTTAATAAATCACTTTGCGATAGAGATTGCGATTGATTTTCTTGACTACCATTTCCAATAAATGAACGAAAATATTAATGTTGTGTGCGTATATGTAATTATTACTCACTGTTTGTATTCCGAGACAAGATGTTGGGACGGATAACTAGTATACTAATTAATACTCCTGGAGTATTCTCCTTTCAACTATTTTGTTAGGTATACCAAGGTGGAATACAATCACAACCCAGTCTGTTCTGCCAACACTTTTGATAAACTACTTAAAATATATGGACATATGTGACACTGAATAAGTCGACGCTGCTGCTCCGATGCCATAATTTAATACTTTTAGGAGTGAAACATGCATGTGTATAAGTACCGTATTGAAACGCTGACAAATGCAACAAATCATTATCTTATCATAGGGATGGGATATTAGTCATCGCTCTGTGGATGTACGTTGGTAAAGTTACATATCTGACACAATAATGCAAACACACTCTAATGCCCATGAAATCTGTATGACGTGGTTCAGAAGAGATACTATTCACTACGTCTTGTGTATGATATTTATTTTTTATTGTATGTACAATAGATATGTATGATGTATTTTTTTCGATTCAAATAAATTTAGGGAATTTCAACCCTTTATTACATATATTTAAGATTAATTCATACAATGAGAATTCCAAACACAACTAGTCTAAAAAAACGAAATAATCATCATACAAATGCTGCTATAATTAGGCCATGATTTAAAATATGCCGAAAACTTAGAGATACAATTTTATATTTCATTCATTCACGAAAAACTGAAAGAATATATGATATATATGATACTTTATATGATAAGGAAATAAGAAGATTCAGCCTAACCTGACACCTAATTTGTTGACATACCCACGACGCCAGGTAATGGGCTGGGATCCTTCCTGGGGCTGTGGGTATGTCAACGCGTCCCTAACCTTACCGATGCATGTATGATGTATGACTTGTTACAAATCTGTAAAATAATGATCTCTGTTAACAAACTAATCAATATTTACGATATTTAAGAAAATAACTGTAATAGTTTGGGTGGAACATATAAATAGTAAGCAAATAAATAAATAGTCATAATTATACACATATACTTGTATGCACTTATGTGTATACTTAACTATAATTACATATACACAATGCTATTAATGAAACGAAGAGAAATTATGATTTGCATGGGAATATGTAATTAATCATCTCTTCTTCCTTCAAGTTCACAATCAAGTTCACGCTCATGTTACTTAACCACTTGTTAGTTGCTGTAGTCAAACCCTTAATTTATTGATTTATGTCACAAATTCATTAGTAGAAAGAGAAAGCGCAGCACTTGAAAACCTGTCTTTGATTTCATAATAAATAAATAATGCGATCTTCAACTTCGACAAATTTCCCTGATCAAATTTTATGCGTACGTATGGATGCATCGGCGACCTACGGCAGCACACCACCATCAGTGGCTTCTTCAGTCATTACTTTGTTATTAAACTGTGCAGAATCAAGACCTGAGTATTATTATAAAATGTCATTTTTCTTAACATTGCGGAAGTGCATCTTAGCTTTACTTTTTTTATCTGTGACATTGTTTTTTAACATTGGGTCTGCAGATGGGATATCAAAACGTCTTTTGAAGCGGTGAGTATAGCGCATAATTTGGAGCGTATTATGCGTACTATAATTAGCTTCAATGCATATGTACCTAAATATATATCGCCGTGTTGTATTTTAAACCCTAATGTGGACAGATCCAGATACTGTCGCAACTATCCAGAGTCAATGCCACCATATCGACTTCATCGTGAGACTGGGCGATGCTATCAAGTCGGAGAAAGCGGACCTTGCCCTCCGTTAATGAAGTTCACTCTGGAAGATGATACTTTTGGAGTCTGTGACTGCGACTTGTCTCAAAGGTGTGGACGACCATTAATCTTTTGGCCATCAAGAAACAGATGTTATCGAGTTTATGAACAGGTCCATACATATTTAGAAAACTTACTATGCATTGCAGTTCTTGATGAAACATTACGTAATAAAATATAGTGTATACTGTAAAGGCAGTAGTAAACATTACGGATATGTTTGAAGTACTTGTGATGTCAACACTTAATTTATTCCATAGGGACCATGCCGAGACGGCAAATGGTTGGTTTTCGGTTTTGACCTGGAACCAGTGTGTAAAAAGAACGTGTGCGAGGAAGACGAGCAGAGACACCCTTCAACGACGTCAAGATATTGGTTCAATATTAACCAAACCTGTTACCGCACCAATTCACGAGGTTATTGTTCAGATGCTGATGACATGCTATTCAACGTGAACCATCATTATCGCCCAACTTGTCAGAAGTCTGTGGATTGTGGAGAAATAAATACTATGCAGACTTCAAAGTGCTTGCCAGGTCAACGGTTGGATGTTCTCGGTCAATGTAAACGTAGATTTATCGCCTTGAGAAATACCAGCAAACCCCTTCAAATTCATGTTACAAAAAAACCAACCAACATTTACTGTCTATTTTGTGATGAAAAGAAACCTCAACACTATAAAATTTAAGAGATGCAAAAAAAACTAAATAAATAATTTATTATGCTTACATAGACGAATCGAGCATTTATCGAACGCCTAAATCGATACGGTTCAATGTTATAAAGTTTATAATTGAACAACTAAATAAAGTGAGACGCGTGTATTATTATTGCCGAAAATATTGTTGCTCATACTTAAAAAGAATCGTAAAGTGTATATACAATTTATTTTTGCATAAATTAACGAGGCAAATTCCAAGCTGCTAATGAAGACGCTGACACTAATAAGTCCACGGAGGATTATTTATGCACCTTTACACCTTGAGTGCACTGTGGTTTTACGTATTTGCTCTCTGAGCCAGTTAATGAAGTTTTGACCACAAACATATATGAGCATGTACTCTTTCTACGCTTCTACGTACTTATTATTCTCTCTTTATTCTTGGTGTCTGTGTCAGCCAACATATTATTAACCCATTGCATAATGCATAAATGAAAGTAAAAACGTTCATTCTAGATCTTTAGGTTTCGCTTAGCACAGATCGGAAACGTAGAGTTTTCCTTATTTTTTTTAAATAAAATACTGAAATCCAAGTATGGAACGCTCTCCAGTATCACTCACCTAGCGTTATTTTCTTCTTCAAAGGTTAATCAAAGATGAGAGTGACAGAAATTAATGTCGTGTGTCTGCTCTTCGCAATATTCGCAATATCCGTGGTGTCTTTCCCGATAGATTTGTTTAATACAGATTCACAGAAACTCATAATTCCCCGTCCAAACATTCGGTAAGAACAACACATATACAATGCATATTAATCTTCTTTATGTACACCGCTAATCAAACACACTGCCCAATATGTACATATTCATTTGTCCTCCCAGGCCCGGGATCTGCAAGGAAAATATTGGGAATGACAATATTACAAACATCAAGTGGTATCAATACCATACACGTAAAGCTACTGTTGTTTTCAAATACATAAACTGAGATATATTCATTATTAGGTTTCGGTACCACAATGACACCCACAAGTGTTATCACATAGATGAAAGAGGACCATGTGGGAAATTAATGTTGTTTTACGGGATTGGTGATACGGACTATGGCGAATGTGACTGCAATTTATATTACCGCTGCGCCCGACCAATTATTTACTGGGCTCCTGCTAAACGGTGCTATTTAACATTTATATTTTATTTTAATATTTACTGATACATTTTATTATTACATAATATTAGTTGTTACTACACAAATGATCAGGTATGATTAATAATGGATGAGCAAACTCAAGCAACTCATTAAGGTTTTTGGTGAACAATACGAATTTTTGACTCAGGGTCCATGTGGGAGTCATGAATGGTTGATTTTGAACGGTACCCAACAACCGACATGTGAGCTTAATCCCTGCCGACAAAATATCTCGACCGACCCATCGACATATGACCGATATTGGTTTGAGGAGGATGGGCAATGCTACCAAACATTGACAATGGGATACTGCAAAAATGCGCAAGAACTTCTCTATCCGAAATGGAATGAGTACAAGCCTAGTTGCAATATTGGGAGGATTTGCAACGCTAGAAATGTTCGAAGCTCTACAAACGAATCCAGTCATTGTGTTCCAGGACAAAAGAGAGATCAAGAAGACAAATGTAGACCTGTTACTCGATTCACTTACTGGTTCAGATCGGCGTTCTTCTTGACATAAGCACAAATAATTAATATTTATTTATTTTAAAGTTCTACGAAAGTCTGTGCTACATGTGTACACATATATCTATATCGGAGTAATTATCTAAATGGGCTCCATAATGTGCTAAATATGTACAGCCAGCAATTCAGTTAAAAACAGATATAGTAATCTACAATCATCAATTAAATATGCTTATGCCCGTCATCTATGGAATTATTTTTAATGCGAAATTAATAAATTGATTTATCGTGATAATATAAACGAATTCAGTTAGTTGAAAATTTGCAAGTAAATTGGAATTAGCAGTTTTATCCATAAATGATAATAAATACTATTCTTCGGAATAGTAATCTGAGTAATCATGAAAACATTTCATCAGACTGGTTATCAATATTGCTGCTGACATTGTGGATCGACAAAATATATGTGATTACGTGTTTGCGGCAGATTCCTCGGACTTAACGATTTATCAATATAATTAATGGAAAATTAAAGTTAATATAACACCGCAGCCTAATTTCCTTTGCTTATCAATATTTTTTATCTCCAATTTATCATCTGCATTGCATAGATTGACTTTCCCGGAGACAGATACATATAGCGTACATACATATGTAAAACACGCGTAATGCTCACTGATAATTTGACCTTTGTTGACGACAGTGCAAAAGAATTTGATAAACGTACGTAAATCAATAGATCGATATACCCATGACCAGATCAGTGTGATACGATACGGTAAAGTGGCTGATTGCATTATTATTACTGCATGCACAAGTGCGTCAAGGATTTGCGACAGTAGCAACGACTTATTACCCTTTACTGCCACTGGTGTTTTGCAAGGCATTGTTCCAAACTAACAAGAATTCATCTCATTTCAGGAGGAATCTATATTGTTATTCATATAATTCTAGTGGAATTTTAATTTATGTATCAGTTCCAACTTCATTTCTAAAACGTTGACTCATTTTTGAATTGCAAAAAAATTGAGTTGGTCGAATTAGAGTAGGATGCCTCCTCCATCGCATATGGAAGAGGTTAATCTCAGCGACGAAGACGACACACCTTTAGACCAAGATGAAGCCAGGTAATTCATTGATTTTTCAATGAAAGTAAACGTGAGAAAACTATTGTGACAAGTTTTGTAAATTATGGTGACCACAGGAAAGCATCCCAGCAAAGGGACTGGGATTTATTTCAAATTCTTCCTCCTGATCAGGACAATGACTTGGTAGAAGATCAAATATGTTATCAAGTAATCGTCAAAACCTTAAAGGTAACTAAAACTGAGGATGATACATATGCTTCCTGAACCAAAAGTATGAAAAGGATTTATGTATTTTTACTCAGGTGTTAGCTTACATAATCACATTCCTTGTGGTACTTTGTGGGGCAGTTATAACCAAATCCACATTTTTGTTAATGACATCGCAATTGGATAAAGATCGTCATGTCAGCTACTGCCGCAAAACTAGTAAATAAGAATCAAATTTTTATTTGCTAAAACCTGCTAAATTAATAATTTGCAATGTTCCAACTTATCAAACACAGTGCCAGATCGACAATTTCTGGCCTATACCACCATTGAAGAACGTCTCTCGTGGACTTGGGCTGTGTATTTTGCATACATTTTGCCAGAAGTACAAGCATTCCTTCGAGGTCTACGAATTTGGGTTTTCAAGGGTCAGCAAAAGCCAACCATGATGGAATTTATAGTTCCCTTCATCTTTGAGGTTTGACATGTGAACTATTGTGAACTACATACATAACTTTGTTAATCATGCCATGCACTGTGATGGCAATGTGAGCTAATTAAATTCTGTAAATATTTTTAGACGCTTCACGCCTTGGGCATGGCGTTGCTAGTATTTGCTGTCCTCCCAAAATTAGATGTTGTAAAAGCCGTCATGTTAACCAATGCAGTGTGCCTTGTTCCTGCGATTCTAGGTATACATTTAATTTGTCATAATTTTTCTAGTCTCGTATCCTGAATTTTGTTTTTATCTTGCACATGAAGGTTTGTTATCAAGAGGATTCGATAAGTACTGGGTGTATAAATGCGTTACTGATGTCTTTGCTATCATATTCCAACTAACTGCCCTTTTCGTGTGGCCGTGGTTTACTGAGCAACAACCAAGTGATAGGATGTGGTTATTACCAATTGCTGCAATTTTAGTATCATGCGGCTGGTGGGAGAATTTTGTTGAAATAACGTCACCCTTCGGTAATCCTTTGAGATTAGATTTGATGTTGCAAGTGATGAGTTATTAATTAGTGGTATATGTTCCATCACGTTTCCTAGATTTCATAAGGAGACTTGGCCACCTGAAGAAGCAATTGAGGTCTACTCGCTACGTTACGTATACAATTATTCCCGTATGGAAAATGGCAATTGTTCTTTTGGGTATGTTATCTTGCGTATGGATGAACGAGGGAAGTTTCACAGTTGCATTCGACAAATTCGGAGCAGCTTTCGAAGACCACAAAGTCATTGTCGAAGAGGTGCGTAGTATTTTGCGTGTGATTTTTATGATTTTTATCTTGTACTCACTAAACTTTATTATTCCACTCTTGAAGAAACGACCGACTATTGAGGATTATCTGAATACGGACCCAGGAACCGGAAAAGAATATTTGACTCCTGGAAAGACGCAGGAATCAACAGAGTACCGTTCAGTGCAATATGCGATGATTGCACAAATGGTAGCTGCTTATCTCTGTTACATTTTTGGTAATGTGATAAATCGACAAATAATCTAATAATATATGATGCGTATACGATTGAAATTACTTCCCGCATTTCCAATTCCGTCATGTTTTATATTTCAGCCAAATTTACTTGCAAGATATGCATCCAAGCATTTAGCTTCGCTTTCCCAATTCTACTAGCAGTTCCAGTAACGATAATTACACTGATAAATTTATGTGGAATGAGAGAGGAGGAAGTATGTTTTTGGGATAACGTGATGCCAGGTTATTTGTTTTGGACTTGCCCGAAGGGTGATTTTTGGCAAGATTTTTTCTTTGGCGATCAGGTACGTTCAGTTAGTATTACATTGCATAACTTACATATGTACATGTTTGTAATTCACATTTACACATATGTATGTACAAAATTTAATAGCACGGATGGGCATGGATGTTGTGGATTTTATCACAGACATGGTAAATTTTATGGAAGTTTGTACAACTTATGAACAAATTCAAACCAGGATAAATTCACTATTTAATTGTGTGTTCAAGGGTCGTAATTCATGTCTGGAATGCGAAGGGAATCCGTCTTGCATCAACCGAGAAGATGTTCGCCACCCCGATGTACAATTCATTACTGGTGGATCAGTCTGTGGCGTTGAACAGGTAATTATCTAATTGGTTCGTGGAAAATATTATTTTGTACACACGTCGCAATCGCTTGCTTCTCCTTCGTAGACGAAGAGACGAAGATGTGGTAGAAGTTGATGACGATGAAAACGAGCCCAAAGATGCCGGTTTCACAAAGCTGACAACAACTGGAGATAAGAAAGATCCTAATAAAATACAACCCAAGGACACAATCCCGAGGATTTATGCTTGCGCAACAATGTGAGTGTCTACTGTCCATATTTGATATTTGTCCAAAATGCAAGTTCTAATCATTTATTTTAAAATTACAAAATTTAGGTGGCATGAAACCAGAGTGAGTTGCAAAGCATTTCAAATATAATTCATTGCTGTAAAGGCAGATTACTAAAATGTATCATAATTAAAAATTTTAGGAAGAAATGATAGAAATGCTAAAAAGTATATTTCGAATGGATGCTGATCAGTGTGCCAGACGGGTTGCATTGAAATATTTTGAATACAGGGTAAGAAATATTTAATTAAGAGTAGTATTGCATCAGGACGTTAAAATAACTGCACTCTTAATATTGACATGACACTAGGGTAAAATTATTTCATGTAAATATAACAGTTACACCAAGGACGTGCAGATTTATGAATTGAGTTGTGATCGTAATATTGCTTATACACGATATCTGTTTTATTTCAGGATCCAGCGTATTACGAATTTGAAAGTAAGTCTACAAGATTACTTCCAGATCTAATGTGGCACTTGATTAATAAATTATAAGATAATTATAAATTCATATCGAAGTTGACTTAAATTATGCCCTTCGTTTCAGCTCATATCTTTTTCGATGACGCCTTCCAGCTCAGCGACTCTACAGATTTTTATTCTCCGATGGAAATTAATCCTTTCGTGAGGATATTTGTGGGTAGGTGCATACAATTGCATAATATTCACAGTAAAAAGAGTGTTACAGTAAAAAAAACTAAACTGTATGACTTTTAGACTTGCATCAAACTCTTGGCATTTACTAATCAATTTTCGAACGTATGCAGGTACTCTCGAAGAGGCAGCGAGTCACGTACATCAGGCATTTGTAAAATTACGACCACCCAAGAAAATTCCTACGCCTTACGGAGGTACGATTGAATATCTCTTACAAAATCTATATTTTATTATTACGATGCTTTCTTAATAAGACTGCATATATTTTTTTCCCACCATATCGATGAACAATTGGTAATATATTTTTGATTTGTTTTGAATTTCATGAAGGACGGCTGGAATATATTCTCCCAGGAAAAACCAAGCTGATTGTTCATATCAAAGATAAAGCCAAGATACGCCATAAAAAGCGTTGGTCTCAAGTCATGTACATGTGTACGTAATATTCTTACGATTTATTTATCAATATTTACTACGTTTGTACGTGATGTTCAGAGCATAATTTATCATTAATTTTTGTACACATGAACTAATTCGACTATAGATTACCTCCTTGGCCACCTGCTCATGGAACAGGTAAGAATTAAATAGACTATATAGATTTTATTATATTTTCTAAAATTCAGGTCAGGGGAAGAAGATGGCTAGGGAGACGTGTAGCGTTCTCTTGTGTTTCTATCAATATGACATATCATTTCGCCACATTTGATTTTTCCAACTGCATCTCACCCGCCCCCCTCCCCCAAAAAAACAACTTTACAAAATCTCGAATCATTGAAAAGAATCCCTCATGGATATTTTGCAGTTTCTTCGAAAGACAGAGAAAATGTCGAAAACATTTTTTCAGTTTTTTGAAAATGTTTCAAGATTTGCAAAAATTCAACTACTATTTTACCGTCTCTGGAACACAGTCTATGCGCTTTATCTTTCCATGAGTATGCTCCACGTAAAGATGAAGAATCTTCTTCTTGGAGGTTTCTTTAATCAAACGAAGAAATTTACATTTTGCACAATTATTGTTAACAGCCAATTTCAACGACAAGAAAGGAAGTGATTGCAGAGAACACGTTTATCCTCGCCCTCGACGGTGATATTGACTTTCAACCTAACGCTGTCGAACTGCTAGTGGACCTCATGAAGAAGAATAAACATCTTGGCGCAGCTTGTGGGCGTATGTTCATGCAATGTTTTTTTTAATTTTCTTTATATATTAACCTCTTACGCCAAGATAACCCCAGAGTTGGCAAATTGTTAATTAAGCCTGTGTATTCATGTTCAAAACAACTAGGTTTTTATTTTTTTAAGATCGATGTGGGATATATTAATTTTCGGTCGTTTTTTTCAAGAAGTTCTGTTCAGTACCAAAAATTCAGCTATTATTATCCAAATATAGCCCTACTCACCACGTTAATTAGCGAGCAATTACTTCGAATTTACAGTATAAAAAAGTATATATAAAATATATCCTTTCGATTGAGGGGGCAGGATCTGTTTTGCACCATATGAGGTTTTATAAAATGGTTATTGGTGATATTAGCTTGTAATTTATTACAGGAATCCATCTAATCCATCTACTTTTCTAATTACGAACAAGGGTTTCTTCCTGATAGATATATAGTAAACGCAGCACATATTTGTTGGGTACATAATGTCCAATAGGAGTAGGAAATATATGACAATGAACCTGAGCTGTCTGCTCTAAGAATGACTCCAAGTCATCCCACGGTGGGATGACTTATCGATGGAGAGTGGTGGGATTCCCACCACTCTCCATCGATAAAACATGACGACTCTAAAATGGGAAACAAAATTCAAATCATTTAAACATATTGGACATTATTTATTCCAACAGTTGGAATACGATGGGACAAATTATTTACCTGTGGGAGGAGGAAACTGTTCCGTCAATTTGACGTTTTTACTTGTTTATACTCCATCATTCTTCACTCGAATCTTCGTCTCCGTCGTCTTTTAATAATAAGTAAATAAATTTCTTGGTCATCAATATGGGACTACTACCAATCCAACTTTTGGAAAACTTACCAAAATCGTTTCCTGTCTGATGACACTTATTGATTTGATTAACTTGATTTTAAACATTTACAAGCAAACTTGCAAACTTAGAGCAGCGTCCACACTCAACAACTTCCAGTTGAGTTATGGTCAAGACATGCATTATTTTTCTCATGCTTTGCTGCTCTTATCTATCGCGTCCCCAAGCCAAGCTCATAATATCAAAAGGAGTCTATACTTACCTTTAATTTTGTATATGAAATTTGTGTGTTATGGCGAATTTATTTAGTATAAATATAAATTTATAACTATTAAATTTAAATAAATTTAAATAAATATTTAAATAATATTAATATTTAAATAAATTTAATGTTAAAGGAATTCACCCAATTGGCAGTGGGCCGATGGTCTGGTATCAGAAATTTGGTACGCAAATACTTTTAATTGGAAATGAAACAAATTAAATCCATGTGTCCATGCTTATTTTATTTTCTAGAATATGCAGTTGGACATTGGTTACAAAAGGCCACGGAGCACGTATTTGGGTAAAAAAAATTTCGCTCATCGGATTCGTTGCTTACATATTTATATGAAAATTAAGTTGGCACTGCTAAATTACAAGGTGTGCAATTGCAGCTGTGTATTATGTTCGCCGGGATGCTTTTCACTCTTTAGAGGAAAAGCTTTGATGGATGATAATGTAATGGCCAAATACACAACAGTCAGCACTGAACCTAGGCAAGCATTATTTTAGTCCTTTTTAAGACTTCTAAGACTTTTTTTAAGGGTTCGAATTTTGATATTTTTTCAGGCATTACGTGCAATTCGATCAGGGGGAAGACAGGTGGTTATGCACGCTGATGTTGCAGAGAGGATATCGCGTCGAATATTGTGCAGCCTCAGGTTAGACTTTTATTAATACTTTTTCAGTTAAATTATTTTACTATTATTATGTCATCAAACTTTACCTTTAACTTTATATTTTTTATGAACATAAGATGCGAAGACCCACGCTCCAGAAGGATTTGGAGAATTTTATAATCAGCGTCGGAGATGGGTTCCATCAACAATGGGTACATAATAACCCCATCAATTAATTTATTCCGTTTATATTTTAACTAATTCATTCACTCGATCGTTCTAAATGTTTAATTTAATTCTAGCAAATATTATGGATCTGCTGCTGTCATATGAAAAAGTGGTCAAAGTTAACCCCGATATCAGCTTCTTATACATTTGTTACCAGGTAAAGTACTTGCGGACTATTTTCAGAACTATTTTTCCAAGTACTTTATCATTTTTCTAGATTGTCATGATGGTTGGGACAATACTTGGACCAGGCACGATTTTCTTGATGTTGGTGGGAGGTATGTCAATCCAAAAATATAAGACTTGATTGAGTAAAAGACATTTAAAAATGTTTTACGAAAGGAAAATTAGTTGAGCTGGTGATGGTAATTAAATAATTTTCTTAATTAATTGCAGCATTTGCAACAGCATTCAACTTGGGCCAGTGGACGAGCTTTTTGTACAATTTTATTCCAATTCTGACGTTCATATTGGTTTGCTTCTTGTGCAAAGCAAACATTCAGGTACGAACAGAGGAGCTTATTAACAGCTTAACTATGTGTAACTTTATTTTAAAGTATTTTTATAAATGCAGTTAATGGTCGCCCAAATATTATCCGTCATTTACGCCCTCGCGATGGTGGCTGGTAATTACTACGACATTGTATATCATTAGACCACGCTGGAAAATTTTTACTTTTTAGACTATAATCAGAATGCCATGTTTGTATACCATATTTTATTAAGTAACAAATCAATGTATCCAAATCATTAGTGCATACAATATAAATAACGCAAATTACTAAGATATTTAGTAACTCTTTCAACTTTTAGAAATTTAGACCGAGCCAGGGCTCATAGAAAAATGTGTGAATGAAGACGAACTACTAGAACAATTTTGAACGAATTACGTTTATGACAATGAGATAGATTAGCATGATCCATCAAGTGGTTGATCTGTGGGGGTCATTTAATGGGGGTATAATAGCAGCCTGAAATTTGCATGAGGGTCAAGTGCATCCAACATTAACGAGTATGAAATACAGATTTTCAAGAGTAGCCCAAAAGGATAATTGGTTTTACATATCAGTCGGCCGAAGGCCTGTTAAACTACTGCGCCCTGCTGCCTATCCCAATGCATAGATTTTGCGGATATCAGATATCTAGTTGATGCTGAGGATGGGTTCTTTGATGGATTTATTTTAGTGATATAATTAATATTTTTTCGTGACTTGATGGGAAATCTCTTATGCGTGTGGAACGCATCATTGTTTCCCAATACAATGACATGACTAATTATTTCCAGTTGTGCGTCTTATAATTAAAATCATCACTTGATTATTAACTAATTCGTTAATTATTTTTCAAACAGTCGTTGTCGCCATTGCTTTACAAGTCAATGACGATGGTAAGTCTTTAATATGGAATCGACGATATCTTATTTTGAGTGTGGTCTGAAGACGCTATTCTCCTAAAATCCAAATTTTTCTGAAATGCATTTGTGTTTACATGTGGCGTTGGTCAAAAGGTCTTTTTGCTCCTTCGTCAATTTTCTTGATTGCAGTGGCCCTCAGTTTTATAATCGCTGGGATAATACATCCCTTAGGTAAAATCCATCATTTATTTTTACTAGAAAACTCGGCACGAAATATCCAAATGGCTTGTCTTGATAAGGTCTTAATGTAAATTATGTATCCTTGTAGAATTTGGGTGTTTGCCTCATGGATTTCTTTATTATATTACAATTCCTTCAATGTACTTACTTCTAATGATCTATTCGTTGTTCAACATGAACGTCGTGGTAATTAATTATTTGAATTGACAATTATTACGAAGCAAGAATACGTATTAAAACACGTCTTGTGAGGGGTTTCCAAATGAATTTGAGCATGCTAGACATTGTATTCTATATTTTTTAGTCTTGGGGTACTCGAGAAGGGGTTAAAGTGAAAAGCAAACAGGTTATCATATCATACAACTTTTTAAATTAAAAAATATAAATGGTGCCAACTAGAATATTTGTCAATAAGTTATGCAAAATTCACAGGAGCTGGAAGCAGAAAAGAAAGAAATGGAGGAAATGACAAAGAAGAAAAAGAAGGGTCTCCTCTTCGGCCTGCTTCCTAGTCAAAAAGATCAGGCAGACAGCGAAGGATCGTTCGAATTATCATTTGCAGGACTTTTCAAGGTCATGTGTTGCGTCAAGGAGAAACCAGATGAAACCAAGGCCCAGTTGAGTAGAATTGCTGCAGCCCTGGATAAAGTGTCCACACGTTTGGATCTCATGGAAAGGTGTGTACACATCATCCTCAAATAACAATGATAATTTTGCATGTTATACTCAAGCATTATAATTTGTAGGACCCTTGAAAGTAACGGAACTCCAGCACCCAGTCTGAATTCTGCAATAGGTCACAATTAATTCTACAGATGTATATAATTATCAATCGGTATATTCTAGGTAACGTTATTGTTGTAACTGCAGGTCGTCGCCTATCTATTGTCAACTCGAGCACTGGACTGCACCCAATAGGTGAAGGAGACGACGAGGACGATAATGCCGACGGAGATGAGGATGAGAATCCAGGTAAGTCGAAAGTGACTCAGTTTTAAGATGCGTCTCAACTTACATACATATTTGTATTTCACAGAGCACAAAATCCAACGGGACGACCTAATGAATCCTTATTGGATTGAGGATAAGGACTTGCGAAAAGCTGAAGTTGACTTTCTAACCCAAAAAGAGGCAAGTTTTCGAATTTTGCAATTTAACTACAAGTTTTTGTTAATTCATTCTCATACCATACAAATGGAATACAATAATTAGACAAGAATAGAATATTTGAATGTTTTAATTTACAGATTACATTTTGGAATGAGTTGATTCTCAAATATTTAAAACCGCTTGATGAAGACAAAAAGAAACAAGTATGGCGCAACACATTTTATGCATATATATACATTTGGAATGCGAAATAATATAGCGTCGCCATACTCGTTGCATTTCAGAAAGAGATGGCTGGAGCACTAAAAGACCTCAAGAACAACGTCTCATTTGCTTTTTTGATGATCAACGCAGTTTTCGTAATTTTAGTGTTTTTGCTACAACTGGAGAAAGAATCTATTCACATTAACTGGCCCTTTGGTTCAGACACAAATGTTTCGTACGTTCCGCAAAGTACAGAGGTATCAAAATTCTAATAGTATAAATCTTACTGTCATGCGGAGATTTTACATCATAATCACTAAAACTGACTTACAGATACATGTGAGCATCGAATACCTTGAACTGGAACCGAGTAAGTTTAATATCGCATTTTTAGTTTATGTAGTATGCACATGGACAAAGTGGTGGCAGTATCACAGAGACAATAATTTCATTGAAATTCAGTTTAGTTTGAATTGTTGGTAAAATTGTGTCCTTTTCTAGTCGGATTAGTCTTTGTTGGATTTTTCGGCATAATTTTAGTAACTCAATTTATTGGGATGTGTCTTCATCGATTTGGAACGTTATCTCACATTCTCGCCGCAACTGATGTGGCATGGTGTACAAGAGATACTAAAACTATAACCAAAGAAGCAGCTCTGCAAAAACATGGCGTGGGTCTTATCCGACGGCTTCAGCATGCAAACTCTCCTCAAGGTACATAATACATACATATTCAAGCCTACGTCGTCCATGGAACAACAAATCTCTAATAACGAAATCTTATTTCTGATCTGTATCTCAGATGAGGATGACATAGCTGAAAGAAAACAGTCCATGACAGACTTGGCTGGAAGGTAATCTAAATACATGATTTTTATACGTTTAGTTAATTAATTGTTGTGCAATTAAATCATTGAAAAATAAAATACTAGGCGTAAAACCATAGCCAATTTGGAAAAACAGAGGTTTAAAAAGAAGGAAGTGGACAACCTTGAAATGAACTTTAAGAGAAATTTCAGAAGCTTTGCCATCAGTAAGCCCATTGCGTTATTATTTTATACAAGGCATAAAGACTGCCAAAATGTGTAAAAAATATTTCACATTTCTTATTTCTCGCTTAGCTGCTGATAGGAGAAACTCGAAAGCATTTAGCGATGACAAGGCCCAAGCAACGTTTGCGCTTTTGAAGGAACGACGAAGTACAGTTCTTCACCGACGAAGCTCTGTAATTGACAGAAGAAGGTCTCTTTTTGAAGACGCAACAGCGTCGGAGCTGAGCAGGGCCAACAGCATCACACCATCAAATAACTCATCAGTCGGAAATGAGAATCGGAGGTTCAAGAGAAATCTTGGGAGAACACGAAGTGCTTCATTTAAGGTTTCACTATTCTCAATCTACTTCAAAACCATACATTTTTAATATAAGAAAGGCCTGACTTAAATTTATGTTTAAATATAGGGCAATCAACCCGAAGAAATCGAAATGACTGACACTTATACATGATTATATTTAATTAGCAATTTTTATTTACTAATTAATTAAATCCCAGGTGTATGTATATATACATGTATAAATATAAAAACAGTATACACTCATAGCAATTAGCAGAATTAGTATTTTACTGAACTCACGGTCACAACAGGATTTGTTGGCTTTAACTATGATCAATAATAGTATATTCCATACACCGTAACACAACAGAATACCGTTTCCTAAATCCAAAAAATATTACTATTATTATTTTTATTAATATCCCTTTATTGCTCATCAAGGTAAATTAATAAATTAGTTACGTTTAAGTACGAATAGGTAGCCATGCAGTCGGCCATTGGATCCCAAATGCATCTCGTCACTGAAGTAATTCCTCCTCCTCTACGTTCTCCCAAAGCGACATGAGTGATAATTTTGTAACGTTTATACTTTAAGAGTCGCACTTTACTGTGAATCAGATCACTTAGGACTTTGATCGTTCTGGGCATTTCGTCCGCATCGTATGCTTGCCCATCCAACTTTTCTTTGACTATTTTCTCCACAAGTTTCTGGACATCCGCTGGACGAAACTTCTCCTCCAGCTCTGGCCACAAAGTGGTTACCATTTCCTTCTTCTTAGTAGTACCTGTTTTATATAATGCAATGCATAAACACCCAAGGAAGCATTATTGTTGTTAATATTGTACTCATTCATACCAGCATCGCTAGCGGCTACTTTATCACCGGCACCTCGAATTGTAGTTGCAGAAATTTCGCCATCTTCTAGCCCTTCTTCATCAGAGTCACCTCTCTCGTCAGCAATCTGCAGTTCCAGGGAGGTAGGAAAAAGCGTCGATTTATTGTCCCCGTCCCCAAGACCGCCTAATTGCTCTTCCGATAGTGATGTGCCAAATCCTCCCTCGATTTCAACACCGTCGTCACCCTCATATTCGAAATCCCCAGGGTCCTCTCCCCCAGAAGGAGGTGGCGGGCCGCCCGCCCCCACCACACTGCCAGCCGAATCCTGTCCGGACGAAAGTTCATCGGTGGAAAGTTCCCGGTCAGCCATCTCCTCCTTGTCCCTTACTGTAAAGGATATATTTGTGATTCAGTTTTATAATTTAGTTTATTACAATATTTAACAATTAAATTTTGAATTCGACCATTCAATGAGATGTAAACAAGAAATTTGACTATTTGTATGTTTCCTTGGTCGGTCGGTGTCCTTCTAGCATTTAAATATAAAACACGTCGACCCGTGGTCTTATGTCTTAATTTTTAAGACAAATCACTAAAAAAATCTAGGAACGATTAAAATTTCCAGATAAACCACGTGTAAAGTATAGCAGGAGCTTGTTCAATTTAAAAGTCAGAAAACTTAAAAAGATTACCTGGTCAGAAAAAGCCCCGACAATGTTATTCATTATTTAATCGATAAGCTATTGATTATTCCATCCTATGACTTTTTGCAGCATACTCGTAGCACTTCAAAGGACGCTATAGGTCATCTTTTTAGACTTTTGGCATTTCTTTAATTTTGTAAGTACGATCACAAAGTATATCTTCAAAATCAGGTTTGAAAGCTGATGGAGTGCAAGTTGCGCTTGTTTATTAATTCTTTGTCTCCAAAGTCTCACTTTCCACCAGTCATCATCGTTGATGCAAAGCATAGATGTATAGTAAATAATATAATGATGCAAAATTAGGTAATAATTTTCGTCTCAAACAATTTATTCCACTCTGGTTTTGCATGAACTTGCACTCTATATAAGTTGGTAACTAATTAAAGTAAATTAAAGTAATTATACTATAATTAATGATACTAATTAGTTAACAATAATTCTAAAACAGCAAGTATAATTGAATTGTGAAGTTGCATCATATATATTTACAACAAAGGTATTAAAGGACAACGAAGGGAGGAGGTACGACGTTTTAGGGGAAAGACGTTTGAGACCTTTTTGAAAAATCAAACTGAGATTTCCAGCATTTACACGAGCCAGGAATTAGAAACCTGTAAATTATTAGAATACAGTAAAGTTTTTATTCCACTGATTCTTTCTGCTTTGCATATAAGTAAGTTTTTAGGGGTTTACCAATCGTAGAATAACCGAACTTGATAACACCCGATCCCTTCATGATATCCATCACATTGTGCGGGATCCGTCTTCGTACGAACGCTGCTGCTCTTGCCAACGGTCAAATCATTTCCGGATCGGTCAAAATCACTGTTGCCACTACTACTCAGGGGTTTGGACGAAGAAAACCCATCTGGATAATATAATTCTGCGACTAATAGGCTTTGCCACCGGGGGGAGGTCTTGCACGAGCCATCCATGTAATAGCAATTTGATTTAAGGCATTTTGTCACCTCCACAGTTTGCGTAAAGTAACCCTCCTTCGGTATTTGTACAACATACCTCCACGCTCCCTACGTTAAGAACCAAACGCTTAATTCGCATTTACGAATGATTATGGTTTGGAATGATTCATACGCATGCAATATCAGAAAACTTGTGTCAATTGTAGAAAAGGCTTACTTCGTGATTTCTCGCAAAAACGGGCGTCATATACTCTGCTGAGGACGGACATGGCGTGGGGGGCAACTCCACAGCATTTTGAGACGATTGGGAGGTCACAGGGGCTGTATTCAAGTATTTTGGAGCTTTATTCGAGGGTTCAATCACGGTTACATCGATACTCGGACGAGAAAGATGACTTCTATGATGAGGTGAACCAGAACCTTTGTTGTATTGCTGCTGGTTTGGATGGTAATACCGATTTTCCATTGATGTTTCTCGTTGGATTTTGTGAGGAGACTTGCCCCACATGGCATTATAGATTTTGCAGAGTCGGTTGTAATAATTCCTAAGTACATAAAGAAGCTATAGTGCTTACTGTCTCTGTATTAACTTGTATGAAGATTATTATTTTTAACTGTGTTGAAATCGTACATGGCGTTCTCGCAAAATCTGTTGTGATTACTGTGACTTGGTCCAGGGCCATATTGTCGTCTTTTTCGGGATGGGGAAAGAATAGGGGATGGCGAATCGGGATAAAAAGAAGTGTCTTCCGGGAAGTATGGGTCTGACAATGGGGATGGATACGCCGGTTGGCGTGTAGCAATGCCGCGCCTGCCACGCCGCTGATTTCTGTGAGGAAAATGATGACGCAGCAATTTTGTAATTTCACACTAAATTCGTATTTGAACTTTAGAGTTTAAAATGACATGCCACACAAAAAATTGCGACATGCGTTCCTGAATTATATGTGGCAGTTATTTCGCAGTAAAAGCAAAGTTGAGTTACCCCATTTATGGGGCTACGTGACCTTTTGACCCCCAGAATAAGATCACACAGGTCTATTTCGACGTTAATGCTAAATTGTTCTACTAAGAAAATTGTTTATAAAAATATCAAAAATTCAGGAAAATCGAACCGACGAGCATTTCGCCATGTTTTGTGTGCCATGTCATTTACTTACGCTGATGACTGTTGTGGTTGAAAGTCGACTGACGCATATTTTGCAACTTTAGGAAGTGACTTGCAAATTAAAAAAACAAGATAATAATATAAAATTAACATAAAATACAATCATCCTCAAGTATGAACTTACTACCTTATTGTTCTTCAAAATAGGTAGAGCACGACGGAAAAATTCCAGGGTTTTGTTTTTTATAATGTCACTAGAACATGCACGATAAAATTTGAATCAGATATCATATTCATGTTTCGTTAATTTACTATTTACATATGTAGAAATGGCAAATATAAATACACAAAATTAAAATTCTTAAAATTCAACTTCAAGGTATGTAAGTATAAAGAGATATCAGAACTTTGCATATAAAATAGTGAAGCATTTGTATATTTTTTAACTTACAATGGATAAGTACCACCATCAGAGAATTTATGTGCTAAGGGATTCTGTGGCACAAACCCAGTGTTCAGATCTCCGCATAAAGTGTTAACCCAATTTTCTCTCGGTGAAGAAACTGATGAAAAAATAATGTGACAACCAAGTTACATGAAATTTATTTGAGTTACAATTTATACTGACAATATTTCATTCTAAAATTGCTTACCCGGACATTTATCTCTTGAAATTGTATACGGCGGAGGGCGAACAGTTGGTGGGTTTGAGTGAGGTATTTGTACAAATGCAATACTTCCATTGTTGAATTGTCTATTGTTGTGTCGATCCACTTTACGATTATCAGGATCACTGTCTCTGATCTTGCAGTCCGACCAATTTGATGATGAAATTAGAATCAAAATTAGAACGAGAAAATTACTCAAATTTCTGGGATTACTCGAAGGAAAAAATTTTGAAATTGGTGAATTGGTCAGAGGGGTCATTTTCGGATCTTGTAGAAATTGAAGATGACAATTTCAGCCTTGTATCATTCTGAAACATCAAGTTCAAAACTGTTATTTTATGATGTGTTAAAATCAATAATACTTATTATCACAGTTAACAGTAAAGTAACCCATAATTCGCACCATGTTAACTTTAATTTGCTACCTATGTGAGAAAATCGCATTTCAAATTATCTCATTTTTCAACGATGAGTATTGAGCAAAATAAAATTTCGAAAAGCTTATAACACGAAGCGTATTGTTTTTTCTTTCATTTCTGACGTATTTACGCGTAAATCTCGATTTGACCAAGTTTTTACACAAATTCATGCCAGTGACTGGTATTGTCATCTCATCAGCTAAATAAACACATTTTAATGTAAATAAAACCCTTTAGTGTAGCTTGAGCTGTAGGCTCTGATCGTGCGTTATTTAATTAAATTACTCGATTAGTATTACATTTTAACAGATCGCCTGAATATTTTTTAATCTAAAACCAGTGTGGGTGACTACTTATGGCATTATATCATAATATCACAGTTCAGTAATTGCAGCTTCATTTAGAAATTAGTGAGGGCCACTCTATTTCATTTTTTCCAACCTACATATAATTGTACATATATACTTTTCCAGCCACTGGTGACGACCTCTAAATTAAAAACGTTATGATATTATATGATAATTTTAACTGGAGTTCAGCTCTATACTACCATTTTGTAAGTCTGATGTACAATTTCCCAAGCACTTAAATGACCCCTCTCCCGGTCCATCTACGAATCCATTTTGCTCATCTCCTTCATTTGATCAGTGTATGCAGGTGTTAAATTTGGAGTCCATCAGATAAGCCTTAACATGCAAATATTTAGACAGACATGACGGTCCATTAGCCTGAGTCGGGCTAAGAAAAATACTGCACGATATCTAGGTTGATTGGACTCAAATTCAATACTGTATTTTTTAATTCATGCATCTTTCAATCTACTGCCATTATTTAAATCGACGGATAGAACGAAATCGTGAAAATGTTTTTGTTGATACACATTGTTTTGTGATCTTTCACAATTACATGTACATGTTGAAGTTAAAAAATATATACAGTTTACTATTTATTAGCAATAATTTGTCATTATTTCACGCTTTCTTTCATAAAAATATTAATCAAAAGATAGCTGTACAGATACAAACGCAACGTAGAAAAGCTACAAAATCATAGAATGACATTTAAAAAATTTGTACCCTTTCTTGTCTCATTTATGCGTGAACAGTTCGCCTGTCTCAATGATGAGCAGACGAGATGTTGGTGATGATGACGAGTGAACTAGGTCGTTCGGAAGTTCGCTAGTTTGTGTCGTGCTTTACTTACTCACTCCCGTTCTCAAGAAAACGGAAATCACTGCTGCCTTTTAAAAATATGTGTATACATAAGTCTATTCGCCTGATAATGACCTGAAAATCGTGCCTTGTTCAGTTTGAGAACTCCTTTGTTTATTCGTCTTAATGGAGGTTTGCTACACTGCTGCCCTGACTGAAAAATACAAACTGTTCTCGAAAAAGAGAGTGAAACATTCACTGCATTATTAACTTATTCTTGTTTCCCATTAATTGAATACCTACGGTGATGCTGCGAAATGATGCTGAGAAATCTGGCGTCAAATTTTCCATTATGAAACTGAAAGGGAATATTTAAGAACTAACACTTTGAGCTTCTCTTTACTTTTTCCGTGAAACAAATTAATGTGTCAAGCCAGCAGGATCACGCTGAGTACCTTGAACGTCGTTGCAACCGATTTTTAGGACAATGCGAAAGTAATGTTACATATATTAAATTGAATGAAACTTAAATATTCCTTTAATATACAAGAGTATTTATGTGCATATGCATATCTTCCTACATATGTACATGTGGATATAATGTGTTTCCGGTGTGTTCTCCTCAGGGATCAACAAAAATTCAATTTTGCATAATTATGTCGGTGAATCCTTTACGGTCTATAAACCATAATGCTGTTTTACTACATATCATTAGTAGCTAATCTTTGCATATGTAAAATTTGTAATTGCGTTCTATTAGAAACTAGAAAGTTTTACTTTGATTAATCAATAATAAATTATTATTTGCAACCGAGTTTAAATAAGCAGAATTATTTATAAATGAATTTCATTTACCTGATCGGCTCTGCAACGAATTTCACGTATGCGTGTATGTAAGACGGTAAAACCACACTTCAGGACACTTCTATTTCAAATACGTAACAAATCTTAGAGTTTTTAGTTTGTCAAACTCGCGTCTCACAGAGCATTAGTAGATTTGAAACTTTTCAGCCACATTTGTGGGTGGGTGGCAGTCTTGAATTGTTCTTTTAAAAATATTGTCACTTCTTCAGCTCAACTCTCTCGAATGACAGCGTCTTTGTTTTTGTTCACCTACATGCTTTGATCCATCTGCCTGAATGTAATTTGTCACTTTCTCATCACAAATAACACTTATGAACAATTAAATAGGCTCACAAAAGGTCGAATCAACTGATGCACCAAACAGCCAAAATCTTAGTGAGTTTGATCATTTATCACTTTTGTAGTATTAACCCTCGACCATGCAAATTTGCCAATAGCAAATTTCCGGTTAAGCAAGCTCTTTCCATGATAGATACATAAGTATGTATAAACTGTGGAGCAAATACTGGTAGTAAATTACAGAATTTTGCAAAATGCATAGGTCACACTTGATCTAAGAATTGAAATATTGCCCAATTTGTATTCCGCGTGTTCGGCATCAACGAGCAGAACAACAAAGTTGATAAATTGTTATTTGGATACTTTATCGAACTTTATTCTAACGGCTTCGTTGGTTTAAATGGTTTAAATGTTTGTTAAAAAATGAGGAGTCAAGAAGTGTTCAAATTCCTAAAATCCGATTTTGAAACCATGAGAGAAGGAATCGACGCTGTAGTTGTTTATTTAGAAAAAGGCGTATTGACAATGCCGTCAGAATCTGCCGAGAGAGACGCTTGGGTTGAACATTTTATGCAGCAGTCAGTGTCTTGGTGCGTTTCTTTGTGTGTAAGCCGTCGTCGTTGGCTTGAATTAAAAAAGGTTTGCCATCAGCGAGAAATCAAGGGGGTAAATCCTTTCAGACCTAACTCAATGTACATAAACAACTTTGCCTGAAATTGGAGCACGCCTGTTCGTTCTGTCATTTGTATTTTTTTCTATCCATTTGTAGGGAGACAAAGAGCATAGTGCATGCATGAATGGGAATAATTTTGTCGCTTTAGTGTGGCGTGGTAGCATACGGTAAGGCATCGAAGTGAGCTACAGAATCAAATGTGCACAAATTGTGCACATTATAATTTCGCAAGTCGAATACATGGGTATTAATTCTTCTAAACTAAAAAACACATATGTATATTCCCATGCATTTATATTATAGCGCTAGGAAATGACTTCATACGTACATACATAGGTATGAAGCTTTCTTATGTAACAACCACAGCGAAATATAATTGACCAAATTCGTGATAGGGCATGGATTGCACACCCACGAAAAAATTAATATTAATATATTCGAAATGCGACATGAAACTATAAAAATTACAATGATTGTGCTCAGAAACTTGGCATTTAAAGTATTTTTTAAAATGTACTTTTTATAGTATGCAACGCAATTGTACGTATATACGTACAGTGGGCGGATCACAGGTATGCATAAGAACATCAAATAAATACCAGAGATTTAAATCCATTATTTAATTTCTTTCTGATAAGTACATATTTATTTTTTGAGAATTTTACACAGTTTATTAGTCACCAATTGAATTTGTTCCATGAAAAATGAGATTGCAACTTTGTTTCCCTCTCTGCTGACGTAGTGAAACAATGTCTTCTAGAATTGAACGAATTCAAATGTTGGTCATATAAATAATTATGCAAGAGTATAATAAAATTATAGTTCAATAACTCGATCTGTTCCTCACGGCTGAAACATTATCAATCAACTGCGTCTTAATATGACCCATCGATTAAACTATACTTTATCAAACTCATACAAAACTTAATTCGATTGACTATACAGAAATTTCTGAAATATATAAAATATATCTTAAATGAATAAATAATACGAACGAATACATAATAATAGGTAACCTAAATTCATAAGTCTCAATTAGTTCCTCATATTAGTTGATAAACAATTTTTATTAATTCTTATTGGTTTCATATAAGCTACCAAGTTTTACTTTGTATTTAGAAACATGGCTTCACGTCGTCCTTACATGCTTCATATTAGCAGCCATTCGTTTGGTGTTGCATCGTATCACAACCTAAATATGATAGGATTAAGATAGCACCGATATGTGTGTGTTATAGCATTCATTAACAGCTTTCTTTGCATTTGGCATCTGCGATTTACTTTCTTTGTTGCATCATACACCAGTATGACGTGATTTGGCTTTGGTTTACTCTCGAAAAGACGATATGACTTTGTATGTATTGTAAATACGAGTCCAGGATTATATGTACTATCATGGAATGGAGTTCTTCCTACAATCATTACACTGGTAAATCGACTATGTAACAATAATTATGTATCATTTTGACTGGCATGTCGACTTGTTCTGCTTTAAGTATATAAGACAGGAATAATCTTTAAATTATAATTATCAGTCATTTAGTTAAAGTTTATAAGTATATTTTTTTATGAGTAAATGGATTGGATTTAAATTAGGCTAACCAATAATTTGTACAATACGGTCAACGCGAGGGTAATTGGCACCAAGATTCATAATTTAAAAACAACTAAGCAAAAAATATTTTCTGAAAGTTGGCGATGAATAAATATCCAATTGTACATTCGTTAACTCCGAAAATATGTCTCTTAATTAAAACATGAAAAGAGGAAAGCGCCTGACTGACTTTTGATTTAGCAGTTAATTTAGGATTAGTACACTTAATACTATTCAACAAGTTGGCAAAGAGAACTGTGCTTTGAATTTACTTCCTGGATTAGTATTACTTATTATTGACTCCTTTCTTCATTGACTGACTTTCTGACTGATCATGTGAGGATATGCTAGAATGAATGAAGTTATTCTTGACAACTATCGCTCCGTGTTTGCAAAATGAGAGTGGGTTGAGACATGATCGCCCATGGCAGAATTGTGCCGACCACCGTTCATGAACAGAGTTGACAAAGCCTCCAGTGACTCTCGAACCTGCATTAAACAAATTTTATTTTATTTACTTTAAATTTAAATTAAGTTTATGCGGTCGAAAGAATGAAACAACTCAAGAGAGTCTTACCCTGACAATTTGTTGCAAATTAGTGTCGATGAATTGGTGAATCTCTTCTGCAGAATTGGAATGTAAGCGATTTTGCCAAGATAATAAGTCTTGATAGAATTGCTCACTATACATACACACCAAAAGATATTAAAAATCATAAATATATGTTAGCTAAGGTTTGATAAAGGTTTTGACCTAACCTATTACTTCCGCTGGGTCTGTCTGAAAGTTTTTCCTGGAGGTGGGATATGCGAATTAACAGAAAAGCTGCCGAGATGAAGAGAATGACTAGAAGGACCGTTGCCAATATCAGTAGCGGCTTTTCTGGCTCACTTCTTTTCCTAAAATTCTGCTGGTTTTCTATTTCTGTAAAGTACAATATTTGACGATCATATAGATAAATAAGTTACTGGACAATCCCTTAGCGGTAGTCCCACAATGCTTACTTTTGACATTGGAAGAAGAAGAATTATCTAAGTTTGCGCTACTTATAAGATGAGGTCGAATGGGAATGGGAGCATTTCCCAACAACTTCAAATTGACATCCTCACGTTGAGCAGGAGTAAGTTGAGTAATGTTATGAGCTATCACATTGTTATTATTGTTTGTTGTATTGGGAAGTTTGACATGCAGCAAGTTCTGGAGTCCGAGACCAGGAGTATTTTGAGGGGATGCGCTGCAGGAAGAAGGGTCAAGTGCGGAGTCATTTCCACTCGAGTCGCCTGAGGAGTCGTCCGCAATTACAATGTCGCCGCTGGTGTCGTCGAATCCTTGACTCTGCAATAAAAATGGAACCCGTTTTACCCATTTTAATATCTGGAGAGCACGGCTTCCACATGAGCATTTTCATGGAAGAAAATGTGCAGAGTACGTACTGAGTCTTTGGGAATGATGAGAGTATCCAAGGATTGTTTGCTGTGGTGCAGCCACACCTTGCTCATGAGTTTGAAGGTTGTGTCGCGAGAGATAAGCGAGGCAAACACATGTCGCTCACTTTGTGTCACGATGCCCACAGCGTTCGGAAATATTTTGGCAGTTCGCTCTTTGGTTATCTTCACAACGGTTGTAATTGGAATCAGCAACTGGGAACAATATTTAATTCTTAGTTACAAAAACCCAGAGTTAAAATGGATGATAATCTTGGAAAGATTCGTTCTTAAGGTTTAGTTTATCATCTTGTCTTGAAATCTATGTTTTATAATTTTAATTTTGTGTCTTTCGACTTGGTTAAGTCTAACCATAAGGGCTATTCTCAATTGTTCAAACTGTAAATTTTGTACCATTTTTCTACATATATACATATTTAATTAGCATTCATGCATATGTACATACATATATGTATTCGCATGTTGCATGCATCAGATTGTTAAAATTTGAAAGGTTGTGATTTAAAATATCTACCAACAGCCTTAAAGACTCGATTAACTCGGGACATATTGGTAATATTGATTTTTCGAGGTATTTCACTGGAAAGAAAATTGATTTCAGAGTAGCAAGGTGACCCTGAGGTTTCACGGGCACCGCATTCCTTTATGCAGCATTATGACTTTAAATATTTCGTGCGAGAAGCACGTCAAAATTGTCTCGTGAAAATAAACGCTAGGCATTTATTGATCGGATTCGCCATTTAATAGTTAATCCTGATGGGATTGATTGATTTTTAACTATGTATGTATGTATTTCCAACAAACTAGTCAAAACAGCCAGAAGACTTTTTCGTGTATTTAAGTTTGTGGATTAAATTCAAAATTTAATAAAAAGAAGTTTCAAGAAAAATATAGTTAGATTTTACTACCAGTCACTCTTACCTTTGTCACGTAGCCAAACACATTTGAGTAAAACGCAAAGTAATTTTCTGATATATATAGAAATCCCTGGAGCAATATATCACCAACCAAGGCACACGAGTAATCTGAAATGAAGAACATGCAAGCATGAATACTTAGGTATTTCGGTCATATTATAAATCTCAAACTTATTTAGTTTAATATTCCACATATCTAGCTGTCATGTGTAATACGACATTATGCTCTGGTTCCTGTCTGCCATTATTCTTTCTAGGTTCATAAATGTGGTTTACAAGCAAACCAGGAAAAGGAGTGAGACTTATTAGCAGCACAATAATACTTCAACCTTACAACTTTTGGCGAATTTGATCTAAATATTTTACCAGAATAAGTAATGCACTTAGCTCAATTTTTAAGGGATATTATTTATGGAGAAGCAACACAAGTACGTCTTTATCCTGGGCTTTGCATGAAAATTCAAGGCTGATCCAACATGATGACCATCAAATTTTTATGTTAAAGGTCAATTACATTGTCTTAATTAAACTGTAATTGAGTACTTTAGGATATTATAACTCTTTTGATTAGTCGTTTTGTGGCATGATGGTAGGTTCATTATCCGAGAAGTGCGACTAACTTGGATATACAGATTCTACTTACATAGGTAATTTGTATTAAAGAGAAGAAGTATCTCTTGCAAAGCACAATTGATCATTATATTTTAGGATTTTTCAATTGATACTTTTGATCCACTAGAGCACAATTGACTGGCCCATTTTATGAAATGGATAGTATTATGTTTGGAGTGAAGGAAATATGTATAAACTTACAGTCAAGAACTTTTTCGTCTGTTGGAACCTTAGTGAAGTGGCGATGGAATTTCTTTTGTCGCGATTTCGACGAAGATGGTGCCATGAAAAATTCGCCTGTTTCTCCCTTCCCAAGATCTGTCCGCATTGCCGGGGCGCTGGCACTCAAATGCTTCAGCGATTGTCTGTAATGTTAACGAAAATGGTTTTAGTGGGACGATACATAGTAATCAGGAGGAAGTGGTTGAAATTATTAACATAAGTACATAGATAGGGAAATATATCATTAATTCTTTTCTTAGGTTGTAACAGAATCATGTGTGTACACAGTTTCCGTTATTACAAATAAATACTTGTTTCAGTTTAGTTTTACAAGATTTTGATATCGTGAGCAAAGTGTCATCTACTTTATACGGTGTACATGTTACTCATGTACTGATTATGCATGCATATACATACGTGGGCGTATGAACATACTACGTAACGGCCAATAATGACTTATTATATTCAAATGTGGTCTAACAATAAGACATCGTTTTCAAATGCCCTTAAACGATATTTTTCATTCGTTTTCAAGAATGCCATAACCCGACTGGACGCATATTAAAGCAATCTGATGGCTTTCAAGTGCATCAAGCTATAGGTCCATAATGACAAAAAATTATATCTCATAACTTTCTCGTGTTTCATTTTGGAGGATGCAAAATTGTAAACGAAACTGAACTAACAAATTTGAAGTAGCAGAATCCTCACTGCTGATGCCACTCCAAGAGGAGTCAGAATTTCGCTCACGACTTTCGCCGTCTTTCTCCTCCATCCTCCGGTTAGACTTCCACTTCCTCATTTTGAGTTTCAGACGAACAATTTCTCCCCACTTCAGCTGCATACAACAAACTTTCAACAACAGAGTAACCAGCTGTATGAAAAGTTATCACTTGATACTTCTGATTTGTATCCAGTCGCAGCAGGAGGGTACTAATATCCTGAGCACAATTGTTGCATTTTCAACTTTTCTCACATGCTGGAATAATCATGTTGTCTGTCACACATATTTTAGATTACTGTAACCTCAACTTCCCCCACTGGGTTATCGGCACAAGAAATTGAGGAGGAGAGGTGCAATAAAATCAAGTTGTGTGTACGTTGTGTGTGCTTATCAAAAGATAATGTCACACAAAAACAGTGCAACTCATAAAGTTGAAACTACATTGATACTTGAATTACACCTGCTACTCTCAGATAATAAATATCAGTTTGCCTAGTTAGACTCCATGTCGTGCGGTCTGTATTTCACATCCATGACTTATTATTATCACCAGAAAGGTGGACTACGTGCAAGCACAGTATGAACATGAATGATGATAATACGTACAACAAGACCTCGTAATCATATGCTAAATGCAATTCATTCGATGCACAGATGTCAAATTATTATAATGTGCTAATAGGTAGCACTCTTGAACCATGTGGATATCGAATGTTTAGAAGCAAACAGCAAGCGAGTGGAGGAAATATCACATGAAATAAATGGTTAAGATTTAGAAGAGATAAGTGTGGCATATGGCAAAGGTGCCACCAAAGCCGTTTTTCCAAAACGGAGCAACACTTTCTTTCCAGCAGGAGAGGACAATATGACTAAAGCAGTTTGGACACGAGCTTGTCAGTTTTGTTATGTCTACATGGATTTACCGTCGACATTCTAGAGGAGTGCATCCATCCGGGTTTAGGGTTCGGAACGGGCTTTTCTTGAAGTGTGACCTGTAACTCCGTCCTGAATTTACATATTTTATTTGACGCTTTTCTTAAGACTTGTTCGTGCTATCGAAGCATTTGTTCTTTCTTCTGTACTACTAATACTAACAATTGTACAATCATCAACATACCGTAAGATAGCTTAGATAAGTTGGCCCCAAAAATAAACCAGTTCCCTGAACAAGAGTTTTGAAATACGTTTGAACTTCTAGAAATAGATAGTCGAAAATGTTTGTGAAAATTTGTTTGGGAATTAAAAACTCTAGGATGCAAGTATCGGGCCGGGCTGGACATGAAAAAGCCTGACACTATTGATCGTCGGACTTCCTCTGGCTTTTTACTACGCTTGGGGCTGGGGCAAGCTTTGAGAACTTGAGAACCATGCACACCTCTGCACATATGCATGTTGGGTTGTGCCGTCCGTTTTATCTTGGCTAGAGTTGCAATTGCCGTACATATCTGCATGTACTCATACATTGACGTGTCCTAGATTTATTGAGCGGACATGAAAAACATGACAAGAATACTATTTCCGTTCCATGCAGTAAGTCAACATGTTTGTTGTGTATCTTTTAACCAAGCATAAGATAAAAGAAAATACAGAGAACTGTGAATTTGATCATTAGAGAATGAAGTATTCATCTTTTTTAGCTGCGTGTGTACATATGTATTTACTTAGAACTAATCGAACACGGGGAAAATGATAAAATTTATCATTTTCCAGTTCTATATAATCGCATGCAGGTAGAATGCTCAGAAGAAGCTGGTTAGTTACCATTATTTTCTATGCGTTCTAAGAACGTAACTCTTACAGAGCAAAATGTAAAAGACTCCCACTTTGCACAGAGCAACACTAATCTGTTTCGCATCCCACGTTATTCTTGCATTATTATTTCTAGCAATTTATTCCTGCAAACTTTCGATGGACCTTTTCTTTGAAAATATGGTAACTTTTGTTCTGCGTCAACTTTAATCGATTTTTCTCATGACGCAAATACGCCGCCTATTCAATATGTCGTTCCGTAATCTGTAGCAGATAGGAGATCCCAATCTAAAATTACTCTTTATGACTTTTCATCTAATATTCAGCAAGTCGAAGGGAGGAAATGGGAGACCAACCAACTCGACTCTGTTTCTGACTGAGGATGAGTTCGAATAGTGATCTACATAAATAAGTTACATAGTTGAATATTTTCATCGATCTGTCCTCCGTAAATTGTAGATTTTAATATTCTCGTTCAATTTTCCAAAGTATGAAATTTTACTTCAATATTTAAAAAATAGTTGCAAAGCTATATGTCTTATGATATTTTAGCCATTCATTTTAACATTATATATACCTATTTGTTAATGAAAAGTCCTATAATAATTTCCAACATCCAGACCACCGTGTCAGATTAATATGACACTCCTCAGCAAATCTGATGACGATATACATTTTTCCAACACCGTTTGAACTATAGTTTATGTAATATGTATGTACATATTGCTTATCTAGTAAGCGGTATTGATTTAAGTAGTAACCATTTGCATGAAATGCGAATTTTTAGATATGCATATTTATTTGAATTTCAGCAGTAGAAAGCTGAGCTTGTGGGTTTGGTATTTGAAATTAAATCCGACAGGAGAGGAGATCACGAGCTGTGTATAGAATCAGCATTCAATTGTTACAAGTGCGAATGATACGAATTTGCCATTTTAACTCCACTTCATTTTGGTGCTTTTATCTCTGAAGCATGAACGGGATGTTATTTACATACCACAACTTCCACTTATGCATTCAGCATTGGCACTCTTTTCATCTTTCATCCAACCAGATGGTCCAAAATCCACAACTCACATGAATAGTTCAACGGTATGCAAATGTTCACCAGTTGTCAAGTGATGTGCAGGATTCTGGGATTATAAATTGTCCATATATTTATTCCTTGAATGGCAGATAAGTAAATAAATGGTAATTCACTACAGAATCGTTGACATTAGTTGATAACTCTACTCTTATCCTATGTAGAATGTATGGCTTTAAACGTAACTGTTCTATGTGTCGAGGCATTATAAATAATCCAAGGTTTAACCCTAAAAGCTATCAGATCAGCAATTTACAATGTGACGTGTTAGAACGAATAACTAATTGTAAGACCTCTCCAGAATTTATGTAGACAATGTCGATTACTTGACTCTGAAATTGGAACGGATATCGACGTCAAATATTTGTCATTCTAGATACTTCATCATGATTGAATGTTTGAAATTTTTACTACTAATTGTGATTAGAACCTTAAACATATTAATAAACTTTATTATAATGCCGTATTGTCATTTCGTCCCTTATTATACGATATGCCGCATTAGGTAAATTTCATTTACGTACTTGGAGGGCTATATAAAAATCTTTTTATATGTATATAGTCAGACCTTATTAAACATTTATGCATAGTTAATTATGTTATGCAATGGAAGCGTAGGTTGAAATCTTGCCCCAATCATAATAAGCACAGGCCATGAGTGTATATCATGCCATATATACATACATACATACGTATATAGGTAAGTATGTACATACACTTTAGAAAATCCACTTGGTAAAACAAATACATAATTATACAATGCAATGATATTTAATTTGCGGACATTTTGGTTAAACCTACTTTGTCAAATTCTAAATTGAATGCCCAGCAGCTCCAAAAATATCACACCCGCACATTATCTTATTACATACTTTCATGCACAAAATATGAGACTCATTGATGATACGACTGTCAATTTGAATACAAAAGAAAATACTTGAGCGTACTGTTATACATATTATTAATTCACCTGTCACTTTCCATGTGATGTGGGACCGAAATTAAATTGTTGTATTGATTATTTTGCCGTTCCAAATAGAAGACGGCTGATGAACCAGGAGAATCCATCGTCCCATTTCCTTCATTATTTTCATACGAACCTCGTGTAGCAAAAATTTGACTATTGTACAATTGTTGGTCATCACAGGGCTCAGCTTCGTTAATTCCTTCAATTTCGTGTGTAGATGTCACCGAGTCCAAGTAACTACCCATTTTAGTATCCGAATAAATGGACGCGGAACCCTCTGACTCTTCGGCATTTTTTTCTAAATTGTTTCGATTAAAATTAATTTCATCGGAAATAAAACTATCTGCACCACAAGACCGAGTTTTAACTGAGAATTGACCACTAGACTTGGATTTAAACAAAGTTGTAGGTCGAGTTTTCGCATTATTATTCGAACCGTTGACACTGGTTTGATTGTCACTTTTTATGGCGCCTGTGTCATGATTGCTCCCATGATAACTGTGATGTCTCACTGTCTTTGACTGCTTGTTTTCGTGCATCTTTAAAAGCGAATCTCAAAAATATTTTGTGTCGTGTATGAGATTTGAGATGCTTGCGCTTATCAGAGGAGCGTATTTAT